GTATACATAATAATATATACTCATCTTTCTTAGTCTCCCCCCAACCCTGAAGCCAGTCCTGTTTAACAACAGTGGCACCATGCAGTATTTGTCCCTTTGTGACTGAGATACTTCACTCAGCATAATGTCCTCCAGGGTCACCCATTTTGAATAATATTGCATGAGGTCCTTGTTTTTCAATGCAGTGTAGTATTCCATTGTGTGAATATACCACAGCTTCTCTCTATCCATTCATTTGTTGATGGGCACTTAGGTTGTTTCCAACTCCTTGCTTTTGTGAACAAAGCTGCGATAAACATGGGTGTGCATGTATCTGCTTGGATGTCAATTATGGACTCTTTGGCATATATTGCCAGTAGTGGAATTGCTGGGTCAAATGGTATCTCTATTTGAAACTTTTTGAGAAAGCGCCATACCGACTTCTGCAATGGTTGCACCATTTTACACTCCTACCAACAGTGAGTAAGGGTTCCAGTTTCTGCACAACCTCACCAGGATTTGTTGCTTGCTGTTATGTTAAATTTTGCAATTCTGACTGTGGTGAGATGATATCTCATAGTTGTTTTGATTTGCATCTCTCTTAGAGCTAGGGATTTTGGAACATTTCTTCATGTGCTTGTTAGCCATCTGAATGTCTTCTTCGGTGAAGTGTCTGTTCATTACCTGTGCCCAATTTTCTATTGGATTATTTACCTTTATCTTGTTGTGGTGCTCAAGTATTTTATAAATTCTGGATATAAGTCCCTTATCTGATATGTCATTACCAAATACTTTTTCCCAGTCTGTGGCTTCCCTTTTTACCCTGGTGGGAAAGTCTTTGGATGTGCAAAGGGATTTGATTCTTAGAAGGTCCCATTCATCTATTTTATCTTCTCCTGGTTGTAGGTTTTTCAGGATACTTGGAAGACTGTTTATGTTGTGTATTAGGACTTCTAGCATTCTTCTAAGCTTTTCTGTAATGAAGATTATAGTCTTTGGTTTTAGTCCTAGGTCCATGTAATTTTAATTTCTTTATGTTGCCATTGAATCTTTCTGTTGAGAATCATGTAGGGAGGTAGGATTTATAGTATAACAGAATGGAAGTAAGTAGGAGAGATTTGCAGGAACTGAGATCAGAGAATAAGGAAGGAGAAGGCAAGGTTATATTGATCTTTGAAGGCAAGGCAATTTTAATGATTTCACCTTTGCTCTGAGTGCAGTAAGAACCTACTGGAAGGATATGAACAGAGAATTGAATATGCGATAATCAGTTCATTTGAATTTCCAGCTGCAAAGAGGGGAAACACTCTAGTATAGAGTTTACCACCACCAGTCACAACCACATATCTGTTTATTTTTGAGCCTGTAAGTTTTCTCAGTTTGTCCAGAGGGATGGATAGTGGGACTGAATCTGTGGTTTAACAAATGCACTACTGATTAGGCAGGGAGGTAACACCTTCAACATTCTTATCTATATTCAGTATAAACAGGAATGCATTGTATGGGCCAAAGAAGGCAAGTGATAAATAAATGTTGTGACTTTTTTTAAGTGAGTGTGTTATATTATTAAGATAACTTAATAATTTATTTATAAAATCAGTAACAAAAGTGTTTTGCCAGGAGGCTGTGAGACAAATGCAGCAAGAATCAGCTGATAGCAAAAAAAAGCAGTCTCTGTCAGAAGCTTCACTGGAGGCTATGTCACAATATTGTCATTCTTTAGAAGATGAAAAGCGGGTTTTAAAGAAAAAATTAGGTCAAGCCACATGTCAAGTATGTATGAAGTTTATTATATTAAATATAGTATTTCACAATACAGATTTGATTAGAAAGCTTTCTTTTTAATTTCATTATGATTTTTATTTTTTACAATTCTCTGTAAAATGAATTAATTTCTGAAACCAAGGCTTTAATTTGGCCATTTGTATTTCAAGTTTTCCTCATAAGATTTACCCTTAAAAAGGCTGGAATATGCAAGAGGAATACCCTTGAAGATGTTCTTCTCATAGGAAGTTCTAAATGTAGAAAAACTGTGTGACGTGAAAGGACTTTTACATGGCAGCTAACAATGTTTTCTGCTAACTAAGACTTATTTATATGATCAAATTGATATTTGCTGAATAATATACTGAAAGTGCTTTGTGAATAATGTCATCTGTGAAGCTTAACAAATGAGAAAAAAGAATATGCACATGCCTAATAGGAGAGCTGTACCATGATGCAGTTCAGTTAATGGGTCTCGAATGTGTTTTCATACTGTTTCATCCTTCTTTCTAGAAGCTCATGTAAGAAGATATGATGCAAGATACGATGCTGTTAACTTTATATGCACTTGTTGCTACTACTACTAATATAAAGGATAGAATTCATGTAAACATTCTGTGTCTCTCTCTTTTCATTTCTTGTACCCTTGCCTCTTCTCTCGTATTCCAGTCTTCCCACTCCACTTAATAATACACATGGAACAAGAGGAAATATTTATTTCCCCAAATTGTATCAACTTACAAAGGATTAAGAAATCGTGACATGAAATAAATATGGTGATAAAAGTTAAAAAAAAGGCTGGAATATTTCTATAATTCTATAATTATTGTTTATTCTCTCCCTCTCTCTTTTTTTTTTTTGCCACTAAATAGTATTTGCTAGTGCACTCTGTTACCATGCTAAGGCAGTCCAGATTAAATCTAAAGATAATGTTTAATGAAATGTTCCAGAAAGTCATTATACTTTTAACTTTGTCTTTGTGAATACAGTTTCTAAATATATTTATTTCATGAATCTCAAGATAACTTGCAATAAAACAACCACTATCCTCTAAAGTAAAAAATTTGAGGTTGGTTTACTGGCAATTAGGAAATGTCTGCTATCCTTTCATTTTTTAAATATATTGTAAAAATATATAAATATTCAGATTATATGTAGTATGTACCCTGAGAGTGGAGAATTTAAAAAATTATCTATGTCTTAGTTTTGTATTATTTTAGCAACTAAATTGAGATATAAGTCACATGCCGTATAATTCTCCATTTAGTACACAGCACATAGTGACTTTATTGTATTTGTATTTTACAACCATCTCAACAGTCAATTTTATAATATTTTCACCATCCTCCAAAGAGACCCTATATGCCTTAGCAGTCACTACCTGGTGTCTACATGCATCTAGGCAACCACCAGCCTTCTCTCTGTCTCTTGGATTTTTTTCCCAATCAGGTAATTTCATATAAATGAAATCCTACAGTATGAAGTCTTTATGATGGCTTCTATCACTTAGCATATCGTTTTCAAGGTTCAATGACTTAACACCTCTGAAAACTTCATTTCTTCTAGTCTCAAACAACATTTGTGTATGCATTCAACTATGGTCTTTTTTTGGTAATGATTGTTTTTTATTATTTTTTTCTTTTTTTAAATTGTGCTTTTAACCTAAGTTTACAGAAAGGTTGGGTTTTCATTCATCCATTCATTGGTGCATATTTTTTTTCCTTCTCCTTGTCTGGTACTCTATGGCACTTAAGCAAGTACTCAACTGACTGCCTACATGCCCAATATAAACACTTGCTGAGAATAAATCCATTCAGGGACCATGACATCATCTCAGACTCCTGTATCATCAGATTAATTCTTTGTCTCCGATAGTCTTTTAGGTAATGGACTACTTAGCTCTGGAGGCTTAATTACATTTTAGACTATGACTATTCCCACAAAATAGTACAAATAGAAAATAACTTTGGAGTGGGGGGAACCAAACAAGTTTTGTTTGCTAATGGGATTGAACAAATATTTATGATGTGGGAGCATTTTCTGAACTTGATGCTCTCCACTTAATGCTACTTCCACGGATAATAAAACATAATACAATTTCAGTTGGATTAGAACAGAAAATATAATAACAATTATAATGCTAGTAACAAGCACTGATATGTAGCTAAGTATGTGTCAGACACTCTTTTATCTATTTTTCACGAATACATTCATCTTTCCCCAAAATCAAAGAAGTGGGTACTGTTTTTATCTCTGCTTTACAGATGTGGCAACTGAGATACAGATGTTTAAGACTTTGCTAAGATCACACAGTTAGTAACTGGTGAAGTAGGGATCTCATCCCAGGCATTCTGGTTCTTCTACTGATTTAACTTCTCAAAGTAGAAACAGTTGATCACCTTCATTACCATGTTAACGATCACAGATCATTACCATCGCAATAATCACAGACATAGTCTTCACCATTCACACATGTGAAAATTGAAAAATATATTTTAAATGGTAGTACTTAGAATGTAAAAATACTTACTATAAAGTGATTTCCTATCTCTCCCAGTGTTGCCAGTCCTATGAATTTGAGTGTTCATCAAATTAAACACAATTTTGCTCTCTGGAGAAGGAGGGGCACTTTCCTCCTGTGCCAGTCAGATTCAATTTGACGGTACATGGCAATAAAAAACGAATAAAAACAAGCAAACAAGTAGCTAAGAGAATACACCATCCCCCTTTCGTTATGAATTAGGGTGAAGTCTCTCTCAGGGAGGAGTGATAGGGAATGGCAAAGGCCACACTGACAAAGGAGATTAATCAGAACTGGCTTTGACAAGCACTGTGGCAATTGGACAATTAAAACAGACATTCGGGGTGGGGGGGAAGAAGAACGGACTGGGGAGGAGGGTACAGAAAACAGTGCAACAATGAATGAATGAGAACCCAAAATCTCTGTAAATGTTCATTAAAACTAAAAAATTTAATAATAATTTAAAAAAACCAAGCAAACACAACTTGAAAACAAGAGAAGTGTTTGTTTTGGACTACAGCAGAAGTATGAACTTTTTCTGAAAGGCCAGATTGTAATTCTTGCAGATCATAAAATTTGTGTTGCAATAAATCAATGCTGCCGTGGAGACTCAAAGGAGCAGAGAACAGTATACACATGAATGGACATAACTGTGTTCCTTAAAAGTTTAAGGTACACAAATCAATGAGAAGTTGTTAAGTACTAGACTGGTATTTTCTTTTATGCTTTGTTTTAGTTGGAAGAAGCACAAAATGCTTACACCGAGGCTGAACAGCGTGCCGAGAAGATGCAAGAACATTTAAAAAGGTATCATTTAACGCTGACAGAAACAACCTATGTACTTACAGAACAAATAAGCAATGTACTATTAAAATTTCGTTGGTTAGGATAATAAGCATATGTGTGCAAGTTAGGAGAAAGATTTCAGCTTTCAATTATTTTTGAGATGTATTTTACGTCTTATCTTTATTATGGGAACTCTGATGGCCTCGTGGCAAGAAGCTGTGCTGCAATCCTGAAGGCATGCAGTTGGAGGCTACCAGCCACTCTGCCGGAGAAGGATGGTTAGTCTCCTCCTGTGCAATTAACTGCCTCTGAAAACCACTGGAGAGTCAGCTGTGGGTCTGTTCTGACTCTGTGGTACACAACTACAACAATTTTTGTTTTGGGAGTTCTGGTGGCCTAGTAAGTAAGGTGCTACACAGCCAGCCTGAGAGTATATGGTTCAAATCCATTAGCTTCCATTGTGTGAAATCAGTCTCTGAAAACCCTCTGAAGGTCCAACTGTACTGTAAGTGAAATCTAACTCAAAGACACATAATACCAATAACAACATCTTTTTTACATAAAATAAGCCTATAAAAAGCACAATTGACTAATTAGCTACTTTTCAGCATATATGTAACCATAGAATTTATGTAAACATGCCTTCTGATGTCTGTTCAGATATTACACGATGTTTTTAAATATATATGTAAATAGTTATTTTAAAATATGCCTTTTAGGCTTGAAGTTGAAAATGAACAGTTAAAAGCTGCTCTCAGAATGCAAATGAGCAAAGCTGAACACCTCCAGAAAAACCTGTTAGGATCAGGTTTGGTAAGTCAATTTCTTAATGTCTATCACATCAAAAAGAAACTTTTATTTCGCTATTAGTGGTATTTGAGGATATTTCAGCCTGTTGGTTATTGTCATCAAGCAGATTGCTCTATGCATGAAGAGTACAACTTCTCTGTAGGGTTTTTTCAAGGTTATGACCTTTCAGAAGCAAAGTTATGACCTTTCAGAAGCAAATGACCAGGTGTGTCTTCTGAGGCATCTGTAGATGGGTTTGAACCTACACACTTATAGCTAGTAGTTGAGTTTGTAACTGTTTGCACAACTCAGAAACATCTTTCTAAACATCTGATGACTCCTAAACAACATAAAAAATATTTTTTAAAAAACTATGCGTGAATCTCACTATTTTAAAAAGAACTAAGTTTTTATTTAGTATTGCCAATTAAGAGCTTTCAAATGAACCTTGGCTCAAAAAAGAATGTAGCCAAATTTTGAGGTCTTCTTTCTATTGGTGTAGTATACAGGGAGTTGGGTTGCTAAATAAAAGTGTTGATGTTAAAGTCAAAAAATAAAGTTTTAGAAGGTATGTGAATTCACAAATACAGAATCCATGTATGATGAATAATTTATGCTAATAATATACCTTTAATTTCAGGATTAATTACTGTTACTTGGATGTACAATTGCTTGCTGTTAAAAGAATTTTTATTTCTTTATACTGCCATTGTGTTTTATTATATTGCCATTGGGTTCTTCTGTTGTTCATAATCATTCCAGGATTTACAGTTTAACAGAACAGAGTAAGTCAAAAGAGTTGCAGGAACTGAGGCCCAGGAATGAGGAGGAGGCAAGATTATGTTGGGCCTTGAATTATTACAATGATCTTACCTTTCTTCTGAGTGAAATAGAAACCACTGGAATTATTTCAATTCATTGAAAACGTGGGAATAAGTTAATTTGAACTTTACTAAATAAGTAGGGAAACATTGCACAGTGTTCAGTTAACCACCACCAGACCCAGCCATATAACGACTTTTGAGTCTTCAGTTGGTTTGTTGTTAAACTTTGCAAGTTTGTCCAGAAGGATGGATAAGTGAGACTGAGTCTGTGGTTTAAAAAATGCACTCTTATTAGGCAGGGAAGTAACACCTGAATTAAGTGGTAAACAGGAGCACATCATATGAGCAAACAAAGTGATAGAAGTACATTATGACTTTTTTCTCCAAGTATATATGTTAGCGTTCTGTTATTAACATAATGTATTAAGTGATTTATAAAAGCAGTAACAGAATTCTGTTCCCAGGTGACTGTGAGACAAATGCACCAAGAACCAGCTGATAACCTAAAAGAGCAGCCAGTGTCAGAGACTTCACTGGAGGATGGGTTGTGTTATCACAGTTCTTCAGAGGATGAGAGTCAGTCTTTAAAGAGAAAATTAGATCAAGTCACACATCAAGTATGTATGAAATTTCACCTATCAAAGTAAATACAGTGATTTCACAATACAAATTCCATTACTTTTTTGTATTTATTTTCATTATGATCGATTTTTATTGCTATTTTGTTAGTTTTACAATGCAGTTGTTTCATAAACCAAGACTTTATTTTGCCATTTGTATAATAAGTTTTTTATAATATTTACCTTTGTTGGTGGGGGTGTTGTTAAGTGCAATAGAGTCATAGACGACTCATAGCAACCCTATGAATCCAAGACCTGAACACTTGTATAACTTTCATCCTTTCTCCAGGTTCATAGGATTTCTGCAGGCAAGCTATTTTGGTAGTAGATGTCACTCCTGCTTCCATGCTTGTTTTAATTGTGGAGTTTCACCAAACACTGTCCACCATGGGTAGCCATTATCATATTTGCACATCAGTGTCACAGTTCAGCTTCACAACAATCACGAGTTACCTCTGTACAGCAAGTGGACAGACCAGGGCTATACGACCTAGAAGAATGTTTGACCGAAAACAGTTCAAAAACAAGCTTGAAGTCACCCAACTTTGGAAGGCTGAAATATTTCCATAATTCCTCTTAGAAATTAAGAGGCTGGGTTTGTGGTTTTGGTTTTCCCCCAAACTATGTAATAATGGTTAGTGATAATTCTATTGTCATGGTGAAACAATCCAGATAAACTCTAAGGGTAAAGTTTAATAAAATGTTTCAGAAAGTCATATTTTCATCTTCCCTTTGATGAATACATAATATATAGATTCGTTATTTCCATAAATTCCAGTATATTTGCTATAGAGTATCCATTTTCTTCTCCTCTAAGTGCAAAGTTTAAAGTTGTTTTCATATATTGTGAAAGCAGACTGAGGTGCGTTTGATCCAGTCTTGGATTGCTTGCTATGTGTCAGAAAGCTAGACAATGACTAGGGATAATAGAAGGAAAATTGATGCCTTTGTGCTGTGGTGTTCAATATACCATGGACTGCAAGGAGAACAAACAGGTTTGTCCTAAAGAGGGGGAAGCCGGGCTGCTCCTTGGAGGCAAGGATTCTGAGGCTTTGTCTGACATACTTTGGGCGTGTTGGAAGGAGCAACCAGTCCTTGGAGAGGGACATCATATTTGGAAGGGTGGAGTGACAGAGAAAGAAAGGAAGATTGTCAATCAGGTAGATTGATTCAGTGACTGGAGTAATGAGGGTAGGTGTGTCGGAAACTATAAGATTGGCACAGGATTGAGTAGGGTTTAGAGCTTTTGTACATAGGGTCGCTGTGACTCGCAGGCAACTCAACAGCACATAACAACAATAACAATATAAGCTGCTTTCCCGTATCTCCCAATTTTGCCAATTCTATAAATTTAAATGTTTATCAGATAAAATGTAATTTAAAAGCAACAATAATGTTGTGATTTGGATTAGAGCAGAGACCAGTAAACTCTTTTGGAAAGGTCAATATTAGTAATTCTTTGGGATCATAAGGTCCTTATTGCAATTACTAACTCCTACCATCGGGGAATGAAAGTGGGTTTGAACAGTATACAAATGTATAAATATAAGTGTGTTCAATAAAATGTTATACTTATTGATAATGAGTTTATTTGTACTACATTATATAAGTATTGTGTATGCTTTGTTTTAGTTGGAAGAAGCACAGAATGCTTATACTGAGGCAGTTCAACACACTCAGATGACAAAAGAACACTTACAAAGGTATATTTTAAGGTGTACAAAAATCAATCTTTGTACTTATAAAAGAAATAAGCCATGTATTATGAGAATTTTATTAGTCATGAAAATAAACACATTATCTAAGTCAGTGAAAATATTTTTAGTCTAAACTATTTTGAAATGCATTATTTTTATCTTATCTTTATTACACAAAACACATCTAGAAAGGCATAGTGCCAAATTAACTACTTTTCAGTATTTATATAACTACTTTGTGTAATTATGGGATTTATGTAAGCATATCTTCTGATGTCTAGTCAGAAGTTATATTTTTTAAATATATTTGTATCTGTGTGACTAATTATATTTTTTTTAATTTTTATTTTATTTTATTATTTTGTGTGTATACCGTCAAATCATACCTGACTGGTACGTGAGGAGATTGCCCCTCTTTCTCCAGCAGAGCATCTGGTGGATTCGAACCACGTAGCTCTGGGATTGCAGTGCAGCTTCTTGCCACTAGGCCACCAGAGCTCCCTTTTGACTAATTATTTTTAAATGTTCCTTTTAGGCTTGAAATTGAAAATGAGCAGTTAAAAATTACTCTCAAAATGCAAATGGGCAACGCTGAACACCTCCAGCAAAACTTGGTAGAAACAATTTCGGTAAGTCAATTTTTTTATATCCATCATACCAAAACAAAATCCCCTCCCATTAGTGGTATTTAAGGCGATTTCAGCCTGTTTGTAATGAGATTCAAGTAGATTCCTGTGTGTGTGAAGAGCAGAACTTCTACATAGGGTTTTTAAAGCTGTATAACTTTTCAGAAACAAATTAGTTGGGTGGGCTTGAACCCCCAACCTTTCAGCTAGTAGTTGAGTTTGTAACTACATACACAACAGGAATATCTACATGACAGGAATGTGATGTCTAAACATGAGAAATATGTTTTTAAAAGAAACATTGTTTTTATTTTGTATTTTTTAGTCTGAAGACAAAGAGGAGTCATTAATGAAATTTGGCTAAAAATATTCTCTAGGATTCTGAGGTACCTTTTTTAGTGGCATAGTCCATTGGGAGTTGTACTGTGAGCAAAAATACAGAATCCATGTGGTGTGAGTGTTATTGAGTTGGAATTGACCCATAGCTGACCCTTCTGTAGGTTTTCAGAGGCAGTAAATCATACTGGACTTGATTGTCCATTCTTCTGTGAAGGAGCTAGTGGATTAGAACATTATGCCTTTCAGATTGCAGTGCAGCTGCTTACCACTAGGCCACCAGAGCGTCCTGAAACCATGAGTGATGAATTATTTGCTAATAATTTACTATTCCTTTTTCAAGATTAAATTACTGTCATTTTGATGTAAATGTTATGGTAATTGTAATTTTTTTTCCATTGTGATTGATTATATTGCCATTGGGGCATTTTATTCAGAACCATGTTAGTTGATAAGATGTACAGTGTAAAAGAATGGGGTGAGCAAGGTTGAGTTAAGGAGCTAAGGTTAGGGAATGAAGAGGAGCCAAGCTTATATTGGGCCTTAAAAGCTATAGCAACGATTTTATCTTTCTTCTGAGTGAGATAAGAACCCACTGAAAAGATTTGAACGGAGACTTTAGTATGTGAGAATAAGTTAATTTGAACTTCCAGTACTGAAGGGGGAAACATTTCAGTGTCCACTGTGGAATTTACTACCACCAGTCCCACACACATACACGCTCAGAGAACTAGGAAAATTGTCTCTATCCTACCTTTGGTTTTAGAGTTATCTAGCAGTTTTTATTTTTAATTTCTAACACTAAATGAGCGGGGGGTTTTTTTTGTTGTGTTAACAGCTTGATCAAGATATGGTTAGCATATTATTCAGCTCAGCCTTTTAAAGGGAATAATGCAATGACTTTTGGTATATTAATAAAGTTGAAAAGTCACTACCACAGTTAATTTTAGAACATTTTGATCATTGCAAAATGAAACTTCATATTTTTGGCTATCATCCCCTAATCATCCTTCCCCAAACCTCACTCTTCCTCAAACCCTTCTGCTGGATTGAGGCCAGTCTCCTCTGTGTGCCTCTGCTTTATCGATTTGCCTACTCTGGATATTGCGTGTCAAGAGGAGCCAAGCTTATTCTGGGCCTTGGAAGCTATAGCAATGATTGGAATCATACAATATGTGGTCATTTGTGACTAAATTCTTTCACTTAGCATATTTCCGACACTTAGCTTTGTTAGCTTTTGCTGCTTAATGGTGTTTGTTTCTATAGACATATATTAAGCTATTGTATTTATCCATTCATGAACTGTTGGATATATAAATATCCATATTTTCACCACTGTGAACTTTCTTGTGCCAAGTTATATGCAGACTTGTGTCTCATTTTTTGGGGTACTTAATAGTTGAATGATTAGTTCTTATAGTAGTCTGGTTAACGTTTTGAGGAATTGCCAGTTGTTTTCCAAGGTGGCTGTGCCATTTTCCTCTCCCATCAACAGTCTATGAAGTTTCTGCTTCCTTTAGTGCTGTGTCAGTATCTGTTACTGTTTATCCGTCTTGTTAAAGCGATCCTCACTTATCCACTGACTGCCATTGAGTTGAGACCTACTCAAAGCAACACTCCATTGGATTTTTGGGGCTGTAAACCTTTACAGGAGGAGATTGCCCATCTTTATTCTGTGGAATCTTTTGATATTCAAACTGACAGAGATGTGAGGACTACTACGCTCCTTAAAGCCGTCCTACTGTTGTTATGTGTCATCAAGTTGACTGTGACTTTTAGCAACCTGTGATTGGAACCCTGCCCATCCTGCTCCATCCTCATCATCTCTGACATACTTGACCCCATTGTTACTGTCACTGTGTCAATCCATCTTGTTGAGGATCTTCCTCTCCAATGCTGTTGCTACACCTTTTCAGGCATTATGTTCTTTTCCAAGGACTCATCCCTCCTGACAACATGTCCAAAGTACGCAAGGCAAACATTGAGCATCTTTGCCTCCAAGGAGCATCCTGGTTGCACTTACTCCAAGACCTATTTGTTCTCTTGGCAGTCCTGAGGATTCAGTGCCCTTTGCCAACACCACAAGAGCACCAAATCTTCTTCTGACATCCTTAGTCATTCCAATGTTCAGATGCATAGCAAGTCATTGGCAAGAACGTAGCTTGGATAAGGCGAACTTTAGTCTTTAAATTGACGTAATGTCTCTTCAGCACTTTGGAGATGTGCTTGACAGATTATTTCATTGCTATATGTCTTTGATTTCTTGATGTTTGACATTGATTTGTTGTTTGATTTCAAGGGTGTTGATTGTGGATCCAAGTATGATAAAATCATTTACAACTTCAGACTTTTCTCCATTTATAATGATCTTGCCTGTTGGCCCAGTGGTGAGAGTTTTTGGTTTTTTGATGTTGACATGTAATTTATATTGAAGGATGCAGTCTTTGGTCTTTTTCCACAAGTGTTTTAAGTCTTTCTCACTTTCAGCACGCAAGATTGTGTCATCTGCATAATGCAGGTGATTGACAATGTCGCATTCTTCATAAAGTCCAGTTTCTTGAATGGTTTGTTAGACATACAGATTAAATAGAAATGGAGAAAAGATATATTCCCGATGCACACTTTTCTTGATATTTAGACTATACAATGTGCCTCTGTTTGGACAACAGGAGCAGAGCTGATGGTCTAGCTGTAGGATTCACATGAGCACAATTATGTTGTTCTGGGACCGCCATTCTTCTCAGTGTTAGCCGTAATTTGTTATGATCCACACAGCCGAATATGTTTGCATAATTAATAAAACACATCCTTCTGGTATTCTGTTTTCATCCAAGATCCATCTGACATCAGCAATGGTATCCCTTGTGCCACTTCTAAATGCAGCTTGAATTTCTGGCAGTTCTCTTTCAATATACTAACCTACCTTTTTTTTTTATGTGATTTACCATCTTTATTTTGTACAAGTCAGTCATTGAATCAATGTAAAAACCTACTACCATTCCAGTAGGTTGTTGCTGTGTACCGTCAAGTCAGAACCGAACAATAGCTGACCTCTCCAGCGGGTTTTCATATTCTACCTATTTTCAAATAATCTCCAGCAAGGTTTTATGTGCATTTAATGCTAACAATATCATTCAATAATTTTCATGACCCGTTGGATCACCTTTTTGGAAATGGGAGCGATTATGGATCTCTTCCAGTCAGTTGGTTAGATAAATGTCTTGCAGCTTTCCTGACACAGCCTGATGAACACATCCAGGCATGCATCTGTTGTTGAAACATGTCAGCTGGTATTCCATCAATTCCTAGGGCCTTCTTTCTTCCCATTGCCTACAGTGCAACTTGCCCTTCTTTATTAACATTGGTTCTATATCATATGCTATTTCCTGAAGTGGGTCTATGTTGGCCAATTCTTTTCCATACAGTGATTGTGTATTCTTTCCATGTTCTTTCGATACTTCTTTGATCTTTCACGGTTTTGCCCATAGTGTCCTTCAGTATTGCATCTTAAAGCTTGAATTTGCTTTTAGTTCTTTCAGCTTGAGAAATGCTACGTGAGATCTTCCCTTTTTATTTTCCACCTCCAGCTCTTTGCACATTTCATTACAGTATTTTGATTTGTTTTCCCAAGCTGCCTTTGAAATCTTCTGTTAACTTTCATTTTGCCATTTCTTCCTCCTCTTTTGCCTTTTTGGCTTTCTGGTAGAATTTTCAGAGCCTCTTCTAGTGTACCTTTTGGTTTTTCTTTCTCCCCTCCTTTGTGGAATGATATCATGCATGATAGCCTTAATGTCATCACACCACTTAGCAGGCCTTCACTCATTAGTGTTCAATGCCTCAAACCTATTTTTGAGATGGGTTTAAAACTCCATAGAGTTTCAAATAAATAGATTAAAGGCCATATTTTTTCCTCTTTTTATTAATTTTAATGAAAGTTCACAGAGACTTTGGATTTTCATTCATTCATTGTTGTACTTTTCTCCCTGCCCAACCTCCTACTCTCCCCCCACCAGTTCACACTTCTCTTTGAAAAGTAAAAGAAAAATTCTTTCATTGTTATACAATCCCCCCACCCCCACCCAGGTCCACTCCACTATGCAGCTTTCACTCTGGACTCCTGTCATGACAATAATACCTAATCATATATTCCCTTAAACAGATATCTCCCTCATTGTTGCCGTATACATAATATCTCATCTTTCTCAGTCTCCCCCTAACCCTGATGTCAGTGCCTCTTTACAACAGTGGCACTATGCAGATTTGTCCTTTTGTGACTGAGATGTTTCACTCAGCATAATGTCCTCCAGGGTCACCCACTTTGTACAATATTTCATGAGTTCCTTGTTTTTCAGTGCAGTATAGTATTCCATTGTGTGAATATACCACAGCTTCTCTATCCATTTGTTTGTTGATGGGCACCTGGGTTGTTTCCAACTCTCTGCTATTGTGAACATAGCCGCAATAAACATGGGTGTGCATATATCTGCTTGGGTGGCAGTTATGGTTTCTCAGTAGTGGAATTTCTGGGTCAAATGGTATTTCTATTTGCAACTTTTTGAGAAAGCTCAAGGCCATATTTTGACACTTAAGAACTTGCTTTCATTTTCTTCAGCTTCAGTTTGAATTTGCACAAGAGCATTTGATGTTCTGTTCCTCAGTGAGTACCTGGCCTGGTTTTGAGTGGCTAATATTGAGCTTCTCCAATGATTCTTTCCACGTATGTAGTCAATTTGAATCCTTTGTAGGCCATCAGAGAAGGCCTCTTCTTTTTTAAAAATTTACTTATTAATTTAAATGAAAGTTTACAGAGACAGGATTTCCAGTCATTTTTGCACTTTTCTCCCTGCCCACCCCTCCCCCACACTCTTCTTGAAAAGAAAAACTCTTTCATTGTTATGCAATCCCTTCCCCCAAGACCACTCCACTGTGCGGCCTTTACTCTGGACTTCTGTAATGACAAGACCAGAATGATGTCGTGTCTGCCATGGACTCATTTTCTCCTCCTTCTATCCTACCTCTAGAGCTTCTAAAGTCCAATGTCCTCTTTCCTTTTTGATCCAGGCTAACAAGCCATTTATGCTACTTTAATTCTCTTTAATGCTTTGTGATTCTCCTGTGGATTTTACTGGAATACTTTCCCTTAGAAAAATTATTTTTCAGATTTTCCTTGAGGTTAAGTTGTTCTCCACTTAGGCTTCCTGTGAAACTGTGTGTGTTGGAAGACAACACCCCTAATATTATTTCATCCTTAATACCTCAAAGGACTTTAATCTACTACCTTGAACCTCATCAAGATTTTAGTCACTGATCTTGGCTTTGAACCCTCTTTAGATCCTGTTTTCCTCGGTTAATTGTTGTTACCTGCTATCTAGTCAGAATCGATTCATTGCTGCCCCTTCAGTGGGTTTTCAGAGGCTGTAGGCCTGTTTTTAATTGTTTTTAGTCAAACATTCCTCTAGGTCATATAGCCCTGGTTTGTCCACTTGTTGTACAGAGGTAACTCGTGGTTGCTGTGATACTGAACACTGTGACACTGATGTGTCAAATGTGATCATGGTTTCCCATGGTAGACAGTGTTTAGTGGAGCTCCCTGATTAAAACAAGCTTGGAAGCAGGAGTGGCATCCACTTCCATAAATCTCTTGCCTCTGGAAACTCTATGAACCTGGAGAAAAGATGAAAGTCACACAAGTGTTGAGGACTTTCATTCACAGGGTCGCTATGAGTCGCCTACGACTCGACGGCACTGAACAACATATCCGTAGAGGGAGGTTGCCTATCTTGCACCCATTGAGCTGCTAGTGGGTCTTTGTCTTTGTAGCTCAACTCCTTACCATGATGACACCAAAAGCTCTCAATTTTCCTCATAGCACTGGGTATTGCGTTATAGCCAGAAGCCATTTCTTCACTTCAGGATGATTTGGCATATAGAGAAAATGTGAATAAAAAACAGATATTTGAACTGTGGTAAGTCTTGGGTTTGTTTTTTTTTTAATTTAAGCCTTTCTTTTTTTTTTTATTTTATTTCATTACTTTTTGTGTGTACTGTCAAATCAGATCTGACTGGTACAGGAGGAGATTGTTCCTCCTTCTCCAGCAGAGCATCTGGTGGCTTTTAACTGTGCACCTCTGAGATTGCAGTGCAGCTTCTTGCCAGTAGGCCACCAGAGCTTGCCTAAGCCTTTCTTTCAAGTATTTCTCTCTGATGAAAAGAGCAAGAGTCTCATCTCTTCAAGGTTTAGTATTACTTTTTGTATTTGGCTGTTTGCTTGCTCTCACCCCTTTCCTGACACGTCTTCAGGAGTGATCAGGCATCTCCCAGTCTCCTGAGGCCTCTTTGATTTTCAGTTCTACTCTTCTCTAAGCTCATTCTGCTTCTTCCAACCTCTGGTTAAAGCCATTTCCATATGTTCTAAGGTTTTCCTTTTTCTTTTTAGTGGCAGCATCTTACCCCATTAGTATTGATGCCAGTTATTTATTGCTATGTAATAAGCCACTTCATTTCGGCTTGAGCCAAAAGTCTTCAGTTAGGGACCTCTCCAAATTATTGAGGAGTAATGATGTTTGTTTGAGGACAGAAATGCATATAACTCAGACCATGGTATTTTCAATCATCTGTTATGAATCTGAGAACTGAACAATGGATAAGGATGAGAGAGGAAGAAATTATGCCTCTGAGCTGTGGTGTTGGGGAAGAATACTGATAGCCCATGGACAGCCAAAAGAACAAATATGTCTTGGAAAAAGTGCAGAGTGCTCCTTGGATGCAAAGATGATGAAGTTATACCTCACTGACTTTGGGCATGTTACTAGGATGGGCTGGCTATTCCTTGGAGAGGGACATGATGCTTATAAAGGCAGAGGGTCATTGAAGGAGAGGAAGACCATTGACCAGGCAGGCTGACACAGTGATTGCCACAATGGACTCTATAGAGTGTCAGGAAGTGTGAAGATGGTGCAGGAAATGACAGAGTTCAGATTTGTTTTTCTTAGCATCATGGAGAGCCATACTCAACTTGATGGCACCTAACAATAACAACTGACAGTAATTATTTATATCACATACCTTAATATTAAATCAACAAAATACACAATGTATCTTAACATTACTATATGAGGGAAAAACCCGAGAAACATCAATATTCAAAATTAAATTAAAAAAATTTTTTTAAAATTAAATTTAAAACAAACCTTAAAACTTTCAAGAAATTTACAGTTTCAACTTCATTCTCCATCTTTAACTTACCCCATTCATGTGCATATGGCCTGGGGTCAGTGTTCTTGTCACAGGCCAAAAGCTGTTTAACTTTTCTTTTCATATTTGTAGCTGCAAAAGTAGCCATATTAACTGCACTTCCCAAGCCCCTAACTCCTTACCAAATCCCACATTTCCATGTGTCTAGAGCCATTGCAAGGAATCCCATTCCTGACACCAATTGTAAAAAGAGCAAGTGCCATTTGGGAACAGCCACTATCTGACTTTTACCAACTTTACAAAGGGGGAACGTTCCCCATCAACAACAAAAAACACAAGCCAAATTCCCCTGAGGTTGGACATGCCCCTCACCTCTTTCTACCCATCTCAACACCAATCTTGCTTTGCTGCTTTACTGGGTCTAGAAATTCAATGTGATAGCTCACAGACCACAAAGAACCATATTGGGGAAGTCAAAAGTTATAAACCAGGTTAGTAGCAGAATCTAGTCAGGACATATGCTCACAAGTGTGCTCACAAATGTCTCAGCCTTGAGTCCTGGGGCTTTGAGCCATTGTTACAAAGCTTTCAGTCTTACCAATATTAGCTCTTCCCTCCCTCCCCCAAGTCGACCAACAAACTTGGGCAAAGGCTCTTAGTTTAGCTATGGTTCCGCCCTTGGGGGCAGCAGTTCCAGGGTCTGCTCTGTCTCATGTCAAATCTCTTGTTCTCCACTGTGGCTACCATGGCTATTGCTCCAGTCCTGAAGGGTGAGTTGCATTCTCTTGCTTGCTCTTCTCTGCTGATGCTGAGGTTTCTTCTAAATCTGCTGCTAGATTCACTGAATTTATTGGTCAGACTAGTCAATCCCCTTGTGAATAGGCTTACACACCCTATTCACATATTCCCAACCCATCCACATGGCAATGTCAGATTCGATGGGTAACAAAATCATTTTGACCAATGAACTCCACAAGACTCATACATTAAAATGGGAAGTGGAGGGAGATACTTTGTGCTTAATGTGACTTATAGTCATGGTGAGTGAAAAAAGGCATGAAACTATCCTAGAAAAATGAAAGTCTAAAATTAGGTGCAAAAATTATTGCAAAAATGTTGAAAGTAAGTTTATTTTTATTTCTTTTTGTCGTTTTATTCTGGTTTTCATTTTCTGTGTAATTCAAATGCTCACCTTCTAAAACTCTACTGTAAAACAGAGAATGTTTTATGGTAATGAAATTTATTTTACAGGGTTTTTTTCTTTTACAGTTTTATATTTATTTTGAGGTTAACAACTCTGTCTGCTTTTTAAATTACCAAGCAATACTGCTTTATACATACAGATGGATGATCATAAAGGAAATCTAAGAGAGTGGTCTTCAATATATCTACACCTGGCTGCAAAATACCAGGCTCTTCAGCAGGAGTTATTAGTTATGAAAACAGTGAAAAAGAAATGTGAGTCACTAGAGAAGAATAAAAAGAAATTGGAACAAGAAATAGTCAACCTCCGCAGTCAACTAGAAGGAAATAGGACAGATTACGGTCAAGTAGAACAATATAAAAGGGAGATTGAAGCAAGAGTAAGGCAGGAAATAGAAGAAAAACTGAAAGAAGTAAATTTCTTTTTACAGGTAAATTTATCTGTAAGGTACTTTAATTCATTATATTACAAATTTTATGATGAATATATACATTGTGTGTGTGTTTACTTCCTTCTCAGCAATTTAGCTTTATAGATTTTAAAAAGAAGAATTTGTTTCTCCTTTAAATGCAGAATGCTAATTAATGTCTATCCTTATTCTATAATCATTCTTATTAAGAAATTATTTAGTAAGAGTTGTTACAATAAAATAAGACTATTAGAAAGGAAAAAATATTTAATAAATGTATTATGCTTTTTGAGTTGTGGTGCAGGAGAAGAGTATTGAACATACCATGGACTGCTAGGAGAACAAGCAGGTTCATCCCAGAGAGGGTGAAACTAGGCTGCTTCTTGGATTCTGAAGCTTCATCTGACATTTTTTGGACATGTTGCCATGAGGGACTAGTCCTTGGAGAGGGCATCTTGCTCGGAGGGACAGAGCAAGAGAGGAAGCCCCTCGATGAGATAGAATAATTCAGTGACTGGGGTAATGGGAGTAGGTGTGTCAGAGACAATAAAATTGGCACAGGATAGAACAGGGTTTAGGGCTGTTGTACATATGGTCATATGAGTTGCAGGTGACTTGATGACATATAACAACAACTATACTCTTAAATTATTCTTATAATTTTTAAATTTTTATTTGATTTTTTTATACTTCAGATATAGCTGAATGGCATTAATAATTAAGATTTTAAATTAAAAAATTTTTAAAACATTTCTAATTACCTTCTGGATCACTAAGAATGAAAGGAAACAAATACTTTATAATCATTCAACTTACAGTTCTTTTAAAAATCTATTTCAATCCAGAATTAAGGTTACATAGAGAAGTATACTTGGGGGGGAAGGGAACTGTATTCCAATGAAGGAATTTTTTTTTCTTTTTCTTTTCGGAGAGGGGAGCGAACTGGTGGGGAGGGGTGTGCAGGGAGAAAAGTGTGGCAATGAATGAATGGAAATCCAAAATCTCTGTAAATGTTTGTTAAAATTAATTTTTAAAAATGAAAAAATCTATTTAAAAAATGTATCATTTCAATTTCTTTTAGACTCAGGCAATTTCTCAAGAATACATTGAGAAGTTAAGAGGGACAAATAATGCTTCAGGGAGAACTCAGATGCAACTCAGAATTAAAGAGCTAGAATCTGAACTTTGTAAAGTAAAAACTGATCAAGAAGATTTTACTAGAGCAGAAATGAAAAAATATAAGCAACTTTATCAAGATGAATTAAATGTTCAGAAAGCAATGTCAAATAAACTAAACAAGTAAGTCAAAATACAAACCATAGAAAATAAATGGAGCTTAATAAACAAATGGATTTACTATGCCTTAAAAGCAAAATTTTTAGTGATCCAATGTCTTTAGGTTACTGAGATAGGAAAACTGGCTAGACAATGTAATTTTAAACAATAATGTTAGTAAGTGAATTTATCTGTAAATTGTTAGTCTAAGGACAGTTTCCATCTCTCTCAATTTTTGGTTTTACATGGCTTTATTGTTTCTTTAATATCTCATATAATAAACCTGATTTGTTAACTTGTTTTTAGCCTTTTAATTTAGACAAGTTTAGCATTATTACAAAGTTTCATGTCATTATTCTTCTAAAAATAATAATAAATGAACTAGTGCTTGACAATGAGGCTGTTAATTGAAAGATTGAGGGTTTGAGTCTACCCCTGGGTCCCCATGGAAGAAAGACCTGCCAATCTGCTTTCATACTATAGTATACAGCCAAGTAAACCCGAAGAGGCAATTCTACTCTTAGAGATGGAGTCGTTATGAATCAGAATCTACTTAATAGAACCTATTACAATCAAACAAAAATCCAAATGTATTTCTGGCAAACAAGCTTATACAGAGTAGAACAGCCCAGTTAGATTTACAAAGCTATAAACTTTAGGAAGCTCTCGGGGCTTAGTGGTAAAGAATTGCACTGCCATCACAGAGGTGGTGGTGGTGGTTATGTGCCATCGAGTTGCCCATGACTCATACTTACCCTGTGTACAACAGCCCTAAACCCTGCTCTATCCTGTGCTAATCTTATTGTCTTTGACACACCTACCTCCATTACCGCAGTCATTGAATCAATCCACCTCATAGAAGGTCTTCCTCTCCTATGCTGTCTCTCCACCCTCCCAAGTAACGCAGAGGTAAACAGTTCAAATATTCCAGTTGCTCCATGGGAGGAAGATAGGCAGTCAACTCCAGTGCAATTTACTGCCTCTGAAAACCTGCTAGAGGGTCAGTTGCAGGTCGGTTCTGACTTGATGGTACACAACAACAGTAATCTTTACAGAGGGAACTCTAGTATTCTAGTAGACAAGGAGTTGTGCTGTCAACCCAAAGACATGAGGTTCAAATCCACCAGCTACTCTGATGCAGAAAGACAGGAAATCTTCTTCCTTGTGATATGTTCTTGTTACATGCCTTCAAGTTGACTATGACTCATAGTGAGCCTATGCACAATAGCTCTGAACCCTGCTCTATCCTGAGCCAATCTCACTGTCTCTGATATACCTACCCTTATTACCCCATTGTGTCAATCCATCTCATCCGGGGTCTTCCTCTCCTGCACTGTCCCTCGAACTTTCTATGGATAATATCCTTCTCCGAAGACTGATCCGTCCTGGCAACATACCCAAAGTATGTGAGACAGAGTCTCAAAATTCTTGCCTCTAAGGAGTAGCTTGTTCTCTTCCTCTCCAGGACAAACCTGTTAGTTTTCTGGCAGTCCAAGGTATGTTCAAGACTCTTCTCCAGTGCCACAACTTGAAGGCATCAATTATTCTTCAGTCATCCTGTGTCATTGTCCAGCTCTTTGATGCGTAGCAAGTAATTACAAAGACCATAGCCTGGATTAAGTGTACCTTAGTCTCTAGACTGACATCCTTGCTCTTCAACACTCTGACAGTAGATGTTCCTAATGTAACTCATCTTTTTATTTTTCTCACTGCTCGTGCCAAAAGTGTTAACTGTGGAACCAAGCAAGCTGAAGTTGTTAACAATCTCAATCGCTTCTCCATCTATCAGTGAGCCCAGTGGTGAGAATCTTCATTTTCTTGAATCCATATTGCAGACTACAGTCCGTTACCCTCTGCAACAAATGCTTCAGGTCCTCCTCCTCAGTTTCATTGAGAAAGTTTGTATCATCTGTATAATGCAGATTGGTGATGATTCTCCCTCCACTCCAGATGCCACACTCCAGCCTATCAAATGATCTGTGCTGCATACACATTGAAAAATGGAGACAGGACACATCCTTGACTCACTCCTTTTCTGATTTTGAACCATGTAGTGTTCCCTTGCTCTGTTCTGACAACTAAGTCCTCGTCTAAGTGTAGGTTTTGCATGAACACAATTAGGTATTTTGGGATTCCCATTCTCCCCAAGACTACCCTCCAATCTGTTGTGATCCACACAGTCAAATACCTTTGCATAGTCAATGAAACAAACCTGAGTGGTCAGCTCTCAGTGGGCCCCAACTTAACAGTGATGATTTGATGTACAATTTATAGGAGCTGGAATTGAAAAGTCAGCAGTATGAACCCACCACTCACTTGATGGAAGAAAAATGAGCTGGGTCCTCCCCTAAAGACACACAGCCTTTAAGAGCCTGAACTGGCTGGAGGGCAGGTGCCTGGTCTCAGCAGAAATGGATTTCCACATCTTTCTACCACAGAGTTCTGAGTGGTTTGAGCAGCCAGCCTTTTATTTAGCTAATCATTGCACCACCATGGCCTCTTCCTAACCACCACAAAATCAGTGTAAAAAGTAATAAGTACAAACAAATACTACAACACTGGCACATTCTAGCACTTTGAAAATGACCTTATGAATCTTTGACACAATTACCAGAGGACTCTTCGAGACAAACCATTATTTTAGTATTTTTCCACACTACATTAGATAAAGATAAGTATGATAAAGATGTGAAGGGAGATGTCATTCACAAATTGGGTAAATTAATATCTTGATCTCTGTAAGGGAATTTCAGGTGCCACCTCCAATGCAATGGTAATAATGTTTTGGGTTGATCGTCTTTGGGGTTCTTTTAGTTCTTTTTTGATCACAAATCTCATTCACTTATAGAAGTTGTTACTATGAAATATATCAGTGTCACATGCTTTCCTCCCAACTCGAAGTTAATAAAAGTGTACAAGAATGATACAAGCAAATTCTTGGAACTATGTACTGAGGAGTGATTTCCCTCATGGCACAAGCATTTGTAATGGCCTCTTGAGAAGTCTCTCTAAGTAAAGCCATTGAGAATGTTACAAGTGTTATCTTTAAAGCATTCAAAACACGACTAAGTATTACTCTCCCCGTCTTAGCTTTGCTTAAATTGTTAATTAGAAAAATCTCCTGGAAATAGATGTACTTTATATAAATTTAAACTAATTTTTTAAAAATGTAATTTAAAACAATATCTTGTTTTTGTTGTTATGTACTGTTGAGTCAAAATTGAATCATGGTTTACCAAACTTAAGCCAATTTTCAGAGGTTATAAATTGCATAGGTCAAGATTACTTGTCTTTCTCCTGTTAAACAATGTAAAATCTACAGTCATGAGATATGCTCTGAAATATCTTCAGCTTTAAAACACTGTCTAATGGGAAGTTCCATTTACTGTTATGGCAATGTTTTGATAAACTGCAGGATATTTAAGGGAACAATGAAATGTTAATATTTATTTGTCTTATGTATCCTTTCTAGCACTAATGAGAAGCTAGGAGAGATGAATAGCAAACTTCTAAGGGAGAAGCCACATGACAGATGGTTACTCAGCACGCTCTCCACCCGGCCAATCCCGGAGTCGCCTTGCGCTGCAAGTATGAGTACTAGTTCACTACTTGATAGCAATCTTACTTCAGAAGAATATGAATGGATTACTCCCAAAGAACACATAAGGATTCCAAGCTGTTCAAAAGGTGGACCTTCAAATGACAACATGAATTCCTACTTGTCTGAGGTTTGTTTCATTATGTTTTCACCCTGGGTTTCTGATCTTTTTAAATTTTGGTGAAATACAGAGCTTTCTTTCAGTTGATTTCTTCATATTAAGTAAAAGTCACCATTTTCTGTCCATGAAAGCCAGAAATTTCACAAATATTTTTGCTCCTAGTTTTTGGAAGGAAACAGGGTTAATAAATTATTTCTTCAGTCTCAGATTCTGTTATCCTGATGGTTGAAGCAAGTTTATGCCCAAGGTAGGGGAGACGAACCTTTGTCATCTTGGTCTCCAAGGACTACTCTCTGGACCTTCTCCAAGAAACATCCTTTTGTTCTTTGTGGCAGTTCATGGTATGTTCCGTACTCTCCTCCAACACCACAACTCAAAAGCGTCAGTATTTCTTCTTTTATTATTTTAATTGATATTTTAATGAAAGTTTATTGAGAACTTGGATTTCTATTCTCATTGTTGCAGATTCTCCTCCCCACCACCCTCATTCCCTTTTCTCTTTGAAAAAAAGGTTTTCATTGTTACATAATTTCCTTTCCCACCCCACCCCCCTCAGTCCACTTTGTCATGCATCTCCCACTCTGGAGTGTTGTCATGCAAATAATGTCCAATCATGTATTTCCTTTTTTAGCAGTTCTTTCCATCTTTTTCAATGCTGCTGTTATGTGCCGTTGGGTTGCCTGCGACTCATAGCAACCCTGTGTACAACACCCTAAACCCTGCTTTATCTCTGAAAATCTCACTGTCTCCGACACACCTACCCCCATTACCCCAATCACTGAATCAATCCACCTCATAGAGGATCTTCTTCTCCTGCACTGAACCTCCACCATCCCAAGCATGACATCCTTCTCCAACTACCTCTTTGAAACATGTCCAAAGAATGTCAGACAAAGCCCCAGAATCCTTGTCTCCAAGGAGCAGCCTGGTTCAACCCTCTCCAGGATGAACGTGTTTGTTTTCTTAGCAGTCCATGGTACACTCAATACTCTTCTCCAGAACCACAGCTCAAAGGCATCAATTGTCCTTCTATCCTCCCTAATAATTGACCAGCTCTCTGATGCATAGCAAGTGATTGCAAAGACCATGGCATGTATTCGGGGCACCTTAGTAGTATGGAAAGGTCACTGACAGCACTTTCCCATCGCAATACATCTTTTTATTTCCTGGCTGCTGCTGCCAAAAGTGTTGATTTTGGATCCAAGCAAACTAAAGCTGTGAACAACCTCAATCTCTTCACCATCTACATGATGCTGCCAATTGGTCCAGTGGTGAGACTGTTTTCTTTATATTGAGCCTCAATTCACATTGAAGACTGTAGTCCTTGACCTTCTTCAGCAAGCACTTCAGGTCCTCCTCAGTTTCAGCAAGCAGGGTTGTGTCATCTGTATAACACAGATTGGTGATGAATCTTCCTCCAATCCTGATGCCACATTTCTCCTCATACAGCCCAGCCTCCCAGATAATCTGTTCTACATATAGATTGAAAAGGTATGGAGATAGGACACATCCCTGGCATACACTCTTCCCAATTTTGAACCATGCAGTGTTTCCTTGCTCTGTTCTAACGACTGCTTCCTGGTCCAAGTATAGGTTTCACATTAGCACGATCAAGTGTTCTGGGATTCCTATTCTTCTCAGAGTCAGCCAGTTTGTTATGATCCACACAAATGCCTTTGTATAATCAATGAAACAGATAGACATTCCTCTGGTATTCCCTGCTTTCCGCTAAGATCCATCTAACATCATCTACAATATCCCTAGTACCATGACCCCATATAAACCCAGTCTGCACTTCTGACCGTTCTGTTGATGTGCTGTTCAAGTAGTTTTGGGATAATCTTCAGCAGAATCTCGCTTACATGTGATATTAATATTGTTTGGTAATTTTCACACTGTTGGGTCACCCTTCTTTGAATGGGAACAAATATAGATCTCTTCCATTCAGCTGGCCAAGTGGTTGTCCTCCAGATTTCTTGACACAACTTGGTGAGCACATCTAAGGTAGCATCCGTTAGTTGAAATGTCAATTGGTATACCATCAATTCTGGCTTAATCTTTGGGAATCCTGGGTACAGAAGTTCTGTAAAGTGCAGCTCCCTGACATCAAGAACAGAAGAATCAGATCATCATCTGCTCTGGAATATTGGGTGACTAAATTGTGTTTTTCTCTACTGTACAGAAAGTCACTATGAACTGAAACAGAATTAATGGACCTCAACAACAACAATAATAGTTGGTCTTTGTTCTAAAAAGTCATAAATTTAAAGAAATTAATTGGAAAACCAACTCTTATCCTTCAAGCAAATTTTCCATAGTCTTTGTGTTTGGATCATAATACAGATTTATTATTAGAAAAATCTTAAAATTTAAAAAAATCTTCATGTTTTGCCAGCAGGATGTTCCCATGACATTAAATCAGTACCATTGTCTTCATTTTATTAAGAATCTGCTGGATAATTAATAGTACAGAACACGTTTTAAGACTTTGACTTTTATAAGAATGGAAAGTTCTTTTTACTTCTAAGAAAAAGTTTTAAAGTTTTTAAAAACTTGATTTACCTTTTATAAATACCAATATTTTGCTAATAATTGAAAAGTAATGTATCCAGTGTAAAACATGACTTGAATTATTTAATCTTCTTATGCCAATGAGACTGAGGAGCTCTGGTGGAGCCGCCCAGTGTCTGCTTTGGGAGAAAGATGGACACTCTCTCCCTCTGAGCAATTACATCCTCTGGAAACCTACTGAGGCATCAGCTATGAGTCTTTTCTGACTCAGCAGCAATGAGTGATTCCAATGAGATCAAACATCACTCCTCTGTGAAATGAGATATATACAATTTCCCAATATCTCCTTTTTAATTGGCTTAATTTAAGCATTTTTTCTCTCATATTTAAAATTTAAAAATTATTTGTAAAAAGTATTTAATTTGTGAATGTTATTCTATTAAATAACTTTCCAAGTTGGACCTCATCTCTAAAACACTATTGGAATTGATGGCCACAATTTTATAAAGATATGTTGTCTGTAATAACTCTTACTAAACATAAACATTAAAAGTAATATTTTACTTATTTCAGATGTGGCAGGAGCTAGGTAAGGATATAACTGGAGACCTACAGAAGGGTATGTTGGCAAAATTTGTTAATTACACTTAAATATTGATTTCTGAAGTCAAGTCTCACTATCCATTGTTTGGATAATAGATGGCAAGTTAATATGGTGGATACTTTTTTTTTTTTCTCTCCTGGTTGTGTATCGTTTAATTAGATCTGACTGGTTCAGGAGATTGCCCCGCCTTTTTCAGCAGAGCATCTGGTGGATTTGCACCGGGCACCTTTGGGATTGCAGTTCAACTTCTTGCCACTAGGCCACCAGAGCTCCCTGGTGAATACCTTTTATACACAGCTGAGATAAGAGAACTCTGGTGGCCTACTCCATGGAGAGTTGAACTGCTAACCAAAAGATCATCTACTCTGTGGGAGGAAGAGGGGGCTTCTCCGCTCTGGGGACTTACATCATCAAATACCCAATGCAGGGTCAGCTATGGGTCGATTCCAACTGATGATGAAAGACAGAATGAAAGATAGTAGATTGAAATACTCCTCAGGAGTGCTATAATTGTTCTTTCATCACAATCCATATATTAAAAAAAATCTTTAAAACTGTCTATGAATCCCTTTATATTTTTGTTTTGTTCTTACTTTTGTTATCTCTATCAATGATCTGCTTACTGACATTGAAATAGTCTCAAAAAAATAGACATCAGTAAGTTCTGATGTTTATTAACAGTGAGAAAAGGCAAAAAATACAGAGCTATTCAATCAGTTACAGTTCTAGTAGCTCTCATTTAAATCTGATTGTTTCCTTTAACATTGGTTTCTTTTGCCTACAGAATAAATTCTAGATTTCTTATCATTGAAAGTTGTTAAAAAGAGAAGAAAAAAGAAAGAAAGTTGTTGTTAGGTGCCATTGGGTTAGAACCAACTCCACCAAGTTTTCTAAGGCTGTAAATTGCGTGGGAGGAGATAGTCTTTCTCTAATGAAGCAACTGGTGGATCCGAACCTTGTGTCCTTTAATTGGTAGCACAACTCCTTGTCCACTAGACCACCAGCGCTCCCTTACCATGGAATTGTTGTTGTTGTGTGCCTTCAAGTCGATTGCCACTCATAGCGACTCTATGTACAAGAGCCCCTAAATGCCGTTCTATCCTCACCGTCTCCGACACACTCATTCCCACCACCCCAATCACAGAATCGATCATCTCATGGAGGGTCTTCCTCTCCTTGGCTGTCCCTCCACTCTCCCAAACATGGTCTACAAAGACCAGTCCATCCTTGCAACATGCCTAAAGTATGTTAAGAGGAAGCTCCAGAATCTTTGCCTCCAAGGAGCATTCTGGCTTCACCTTCTCCAGGACAAACCTGTTTGTTCTAGCAGTCCATGGTGCATTCAACCCTCTTCTCCAGCACCACAGCTCAAAGGCATCAATTCTCAACAATAAAGATGCTTAAATCAGTTTGGTTCTTACTAAGTTATACAGCCTTAACATCTTGCTACTTTTACTTTACTCTTTTAGTCTAACACCTATCCAAACTATATTCCTCTTAATTCCAGTGTTCTTCTTTCCCTCTACATGTGCTTATTTTCTTAATGTAGCATTTGAGTATCAACTTACATATCACCTCCTCTAAAAAGTTTCTACTATTGACATAATGAGGTCACGTCCTCCTATATGTTCCAGTAGTGCCATCTTTGTATACCTATTAGTACAGATGACTGGAGAAATTGCCTGTTCCATCTGTTGTTTTTTCCAGGTTGTAGCGTGTAAATGTTAAAGAGTTGTTTGTGTCATGGTCATCTTGTAATCTGAAGTGCTTGTCATGGTTTTGTAGCATATAGGTACTTCCTATAGTGTGAAATGTGGGAAGAAAAAGATAACTATAAGGCTTGATGTTTAACAGTGACATGTGCCAATAATCATGTATAAATACGGACAATAATATTTAATAGTAATCTAGTATTTTTATTTTATCCATATACCCTTATTTTTCATTTGTTAACACTGATAATGTCGACAACTGACTGAGACTTGGTAAACTATGATTTTTTTTGAAGTGTAACTTTTTTTCTTTCCAGATGATCCTGAACTTGAATCATTATACTATACAACTTCTACTCCTGGATATTTAGAGGAGTCAACTCAAGAGTTACTTACACAAGCATCAGAAGAATCCCTGTAGATTTTAAACAAAACAAAACAAAAATGTAAGATTTGAAAGATAATAAAAATATAATTATTGAACATGACATTTGAATGGTTTAATTATGTTAGGTGCCACTGAGTCAATTCTAACTAATAGTAACCTTATATGAATATGAGGTCTGAGCCTTTCCCTAACCTGCACCATCCTCAAGATCTCTGCCATGAATGGGACCATTGTTGTCAGTCCCTTTTATGAGAGTCTTCTCTTTTGACTCTTCACCTTTTTCAGTATAAGGACTGCCCTCTCCTGGCAAAATGTCCAGAGGATGTGAGATTAAATTTCACCATCCTCACCTCTTAGGAACACGTTGGTTGTACTGCCTCAAAGAAATGTTTGTTTTTTCTTTTGGCAGGATGTTCAGGTCTCTTCTGTTTTCCTTATCATTGTCTAACTTTCAGAAACATACAAAGTAACTGAAAATGCCATGGTTTAGATCAGGCTCACCTGTCTTTGATATTGCTGTTCTTTATCACTTTAAAGAGGTCTTTGACAGCAAATATTCACAATGTAATATATCTTTTGATTTCTTGACTGCCGCTTTACGGGTACTGATTATACTCCCAAATAAGATGAGGTTGTTAAATTCTACTTTCTTCCAGGTATCATGATGTTGCCTACTGGTCTAGTTAGAGGGTTTTTGTTTTCATAATGTTAACATGTAAACCATATTAAAGACTTTAGTCTTTTATTTTCTTCAACAAGTGTTTCAAGTCCTCTTCATTTTCTGTAAGTTATGTCATGAGCATAATATAAATATTTTATGTTGAGTCTTTGTGGAGTTTATCTTGCAATATGACTTTTTCTAGCCATTATTTGACTCTGTTTTGTAGACAAGAAAAATATGCAAAAGGGGTGTGTTTGACTATCCACAAAGGCATTGGTCATTGCACAAAACCACAGCTTAAAGGCATCAATTCTCCTATCATCCTAGTCATTTGTCTAGCTTTCACTTATTTATGAAGACCATGTCCTGGAGCAGGTACCCCTTAAGTCTCCAGACTGACATCGCTGCTCTTCAGTACTCTGGAGAGGTCCCTGAAAGCAGACTTTCTCAATGCAATTCGTCTTTTGATTTACTGGTTACTGGTACCAAGAGTTTTGATTGTGGAGTCAAGCAAATTAATGCTGTTAACAATCTCAATCTCTTCACCATCTATTATGATGTTGCCAATCGGCCCAGTGGTGAGAATCTGTTTTCTTGATGTTGAGCTTCAATCCATATAGTCCTTGACCTACTAAAACAAGCGCTTCCATCTTTCTCAGTTTCAGCAAGCAAGATTGTGTCATCTGCATAATACAGTGTGGATGAAAAGTAAAGCACTACAGAACTTAATTATAACTAAATTGTTTCTATATGATAATGAGAAGAATTTATATAAAAATAAAAGTTCAATTTTAGCTGTAGCCGCCACCATGGCCTCTGGGAGCAGTGGCCTCGCCGCCTGCCACCTCCTGACTCGCTATTTCCTCGTGCAGCAGGATGGACTTCGGCACTGTTCCTATACATCTTCTAGGAAAAACCTCTACATCAATAAAAATACAAAAGTTATCTGCCAGGGTTTCACTGGTAAGCAGGGTACCTTCCACAGCCAAACGGCATTAGAGTATGGCAGCCAACTAGTTGGAGGAACAACTCCAGGGAAGGGAGGCAAGATGCATTTGGACTTACCAATCTTCAAAACTGTGAAGGAGGCCAAAGAACAGACGGGAGTGACAGCATCTGTCATTTATGTGCCACATCCTTTCACTGCTGCTGCAATTAATGAAGCTATGGAGGCAGACATGCCCTTGGTTGTGTGCATCACCGAAGGCATCCCACAGCAGGACATGATGCGGGTCAAGCACGCACTGCTGCGCCAGGGAAAGACCAGGCTCATCGGGCCCAACTGCCCCGGAGTCATCAACCCTGGAGAATGCAAAATTGGTATCATGCCGGGTCATATTCACAAAAAAGGAAGAATTGGTCTTGTGTCCAGATCTGGTACCCTATCTTACGAAGCAGTTCACCAAACGACACAAGTTGGATTGGGGTAGTCCTTGTGTATTGGCATTGGAGGTGATCCTTTTAATGGAACAAATTTTATTGACTGCCTTGAAGTATTTCTGAATGATCCAGCCACAGAAGGTATCATATTGATTGATGAGATTGGTGGTAATGCAGAAGAAGATGCTGCAGAATATTTGAAACAACATAATTCAGGTCCAAATGCCAAGCCTGTGGTGTCCTTCATAGCTGGCTTAACCATGCCACCCGGCAGGAGAATGGGTCACGCAGGGGCGATCATCGCTGGGGGGAAGGGAGGCGCTAAGGAGAAGATCTCGGCCCTTCAGAACGCGGGAGTTGTGATCAGCATGTCCCCTGCACAGCTGGGGAGCACCATCTACAAGGAGTTTGAAAAGAGGAAGATGCTCTGAAAGAACAATGAAACCAAAAAATTTCCTGGAACTATGGGATGAATCACAGAAATGAGAACCAGCGAGTTTGCTCCTGCTGTGCACTGGTGGTCAAACCATGCACTTGATGTTGGTCCTTTGGTACACCAGGGACCCAAAGCAAAGCCTCAGTGTCTGGATTTGAGAGGTTTCCACTTGTCTGTGTAACAGAGACAGCCAATATATCTACCCTTTAATTTGGAAAAAAAAAAAAGTTCAATTTTAAAATCCCTCAATAACTTACACTTTCAAGTCCACCATTAGGTGTTCTTTTCAGATCTAAAGAACATATTTACAAAATACATTCTATTCAAATAGTTCATCACATAAGATCATTCTATTTAGCATTTTTGACTTAATAGAACTGCTGTTTTAAAAGTAAGAAAAGTGGTCAGAAAACAAATAAAATGCAAGTTCTGGTCTCAAAAAAAAAAAGTAAGAAAAGTGAACTTAATTAGCTGTGTAAACTATCACCAAAGATGCAAGAAAACTTTTTAAATTTTGTATGCTCAGTGTTTATTCACTGCAAATTCAGTAAAGCATTTTTTAAAGTCAGGACAGATTCACTTTCAGGTAAGTACAGATGGACAAAACCTCTCCTTTTTGAAAAATAAATACCTGCAGAGCTGAACAAAATTGTAGAAAATATTTCAGTGCTCTGGAAATTAACCAAAAACACATAACAAACTAAAAGCACTGATTTTTAGTTTACTAAATTTACTGGTATTTTAGAATACTCATAAGCAGCACTGATTGAGTGCTGTTCTTGCTTGGGGTTTCTCCAAACCTACCCTAGCTCTATCAGTGCAAGGGGGTTCAACCAGGACAAAGAAAAACCAAGAAAGCAAGCTCTTCTGCCACTTCCAAAAGAGCATTAATGCATTTTAAGTTCAAGTGGAGATCTCATTTATGAGCATACAGCGTTTACTAGTTTCAAGGTTACAGTTCTGGAGGATGAGGCAACTACAGGAAAAGACAGCACTGCACATATTTTGGGTTCACCATAGGATGGATGCATTCAGCAGAAAGTAATGGCTCAAACCCCAAACACACTGATTAACAGAGTACACACACACACAAGTTCAGCAGAAAAAGGTCAATGGAGATTGGAAAACAGCCTGAACTCTGGATGTGTTTGACAACTCACAGGTCCATAATTAGATCCACCAGGAAATTCACATTAATGGCTGGAAGGGTTTGTGCAAAACAGACCAATCTTTGGCTTAACACAAACTATGCATAGAGTGGTGACCTGGAGATAGCCAAACTTAAAACTGAGCTTAGACAGTAGGGGGTACACGATACAATGGAGATATTCACAGATTTAATGCAAATAAGGTGCTAATCTAAACACAAGTTTGAGGACTCTCCTTCATAAGGTCACTATGAGTCACCTATGACTCGACAGCACTTAACAACATCTACATAGAGATCAGCTGGCCGAGTGGACAGAATGAGATGCTACCAAGCCAAAGGTAGGTGACTTTTAATCCGCAGCCCTTGGGCCTACCTTTCTTTGTTTTGTTCAGACAGTCCTCTAGGTCATACAGCCCTGGTGCACAAGTTGCCGTACAGCAGTAACTTGTGGTTGCTGTCAGATTGAACACGGTGACACTGATGTGTCAAATGCGTTAATGGTTACCCATGTGGACAGTGTTTGGTGGAGCTCCCTGATTAAAGCAAGCTTGGAAACAAGAGTGGCATCCACTTCCATAACAGCTTACCTCTGGAAACCCTATGAACCTGGAGAGAGGATGAAAGCGTCGAGGACTCTCCTTCATAGGGTCGCTGTAAGTCGCCTGCAACGCGACAGCACTTAACAACAACAAGGTACTAATCAAAGAAACAAAAATTAAAAGGCTTCTGGTGGAAAAATTCCATACTTTTCAGATTCCATAGTCACTACATTACTTAAAATTTGACACAAAAATTAATAAAAATAAAAGAAATGGTGACTAATGTTAATAAAGAGTGAAAGTGAATATGAATTTTGTAAACAAAACAATATAAAATTTAAAAAAAAAACAACCAAGAAATTGTGATATTTTTTTCCTTAGTAATTAGGACATATAATAAAAACCTAATTCTTAAGTGTTCTCCAATGTTGCAAATAGCAGAATGAGAACGTCAGAGCAATTGTAATATTTGAAAACTAATGAAATAATATTTAAAGAATTAAAGTTATAAGGCTCAATGAATAAAGAATCTCAATAATGAAGTAAAATAATAAAACATTTAAGATACATTTTCTATATTTTAAAAAATAATCAAATAGAAATTTCAAAGCTGAAAAATATCTGAAATAAAAACAATGTAATTAAGATGCAAATAATCAGTGAACCTGATAAAAATTCAACAAAAATTATTCAACAGCAAGAACGGGGGTGGGGAAAGAATTAGAAAAAAGATGAAAATAAACTTATGGCCTATGTTCTAACACAAATATACCAAGACTCCAGAAGAGTATGAGGGGTTGGGGGAGAAGCAGAAATAACACCTCAAATTTGAAAAAAACAAAACATTCTAGTTCAAAGTATATTGTATCATATGAGTGAAGTAATTTATTGACCATTAATAAGTGGTATGGCTTTAACTTAGCAACTGTAGTAAGATGTGTTTTATGTTGTCATTGTCTCAATGATAAAAACAAGGAGTATTTATACAAATAAAAAATATTAAAATCCTTTGAACAACCCCTCAAAAGGTGTATATATAATTAAAAAAACAACAATTAAAATGGTACCCAATTAAGTAACAAAAAATAGTAAAAGGAAACAAAGGAAAACCGTGAAAGAAACAGAAAATACTAAAGTGGCAGATAAAAATCCAATTACATCAGTAATAATAAATATGAATCAACTAACGGCCCATTCAGATGGACAGATTGTTAGATTGGATTAAAACGCAAGATCCATCTGAAAGATTCTTAACCAGAGGAGACAATATCTTAAATTTTAAGACGAAAAGACAAATATCTAAAATAAAATGGTGCAAAAGATTTTAATAGACATTTCTCCAAAGCAGAAATACAAAAGAGAGATCTAGTAATTTAGTAGCAAGGAGTTTAGTTCCCAAATCAAAGACTCATAGTTTGAATCCATCAGCTTCCCTGCAGGAGAAAAATGAGCAACCTCTTCCCTTTCAATATATCTTCCCTGAAAACAGGGTGAGCTATAAGGTCATTCCAAATCAATGGTACACAACAACAGCAAAAACTGATCGTTAAGAATAAGCTATTTAACATTATTAGTCATTAGGGAAATGTAAATTAAATCCACAGTAAGATATCAATTCATACCCACTTCATTGTTGTTAGGTGCCGTCAAGTACAACTTATAGCTATCCTATGAACAGATCTGAACCTTGTCCTATCCTGTGCCATCTTCACACTTCCTGACATACTAGAGCCCCATGGTGGCAGTTACCATGTCAACTAACCTGGTGAGGGTCTTCCCCTCCTTCATCAACCCTCCACCTCTCCAAGGAACAGCCCCTGCGAGCAACATGCCTTAAGTATTAGAATGGGCCTAATCAAAGAGATAGACTATAACAAGTGCTATGAATGATGGAGAGAAATTGGAACTCTGACATATTGCTGGAGAGAATGTAAAATGTTGCAGATAGATTGGTCTTTGGAGAGGGACATCATGCTCAGAAGGATGGACAGACAGCACAGGAAGGGAGACCCGCAGATGAGATGGATTGATACGGAAACTAGGGTGATGGGAGTTGGTGTGTCAGAATTAGTGAGACTGGCTCTGGACAGGGAAGGGTTCAGAGCTGCTGTACATAGGGTTGCTATGCATCGCAGGCAACTCAATGGTACATAACAATAACATACTATGACAGGTTTGGAAGCAGAAGTGGCATCCACTTACTAAATAACATGCCTCTGGAAACTCTGAACTTTGATAAATGTCGACAGTTGTAAAGGGGCTTCAGGCCTTTTGTTCATAGGGTCACTATGGGCTGTGCGTGACTTGAAGGCAATCAAGAGTCTGATAATACTTCACTGATTTCATAAAAAAGTTAACTGACAGCTTACCACACAATCCAGCAATTTCATTACTAGAATTAATGTTCACAAAGACTTGTGTATCAATGTTTACAGTCCAAATCTGAAAACAATTCAAATGTCTACCAATGAGTGAGTCAAAAAACAATTGTGAAGTATACAAAACGGGAATACTCATTCTACATTAGAAAGAAATGAAGTAATGCTATTACCATCTGAATTTCAAAATCATTATGCTAAGTGAAAAGAAGCCAGATGCAAAAGACAAACACATTGTTTGATTATATTTTAAAAAAAGCACATTTACAAATATGAAAACAGAGCCCTGTTGCTTGTGCTGAGAGCAGGAACTGACTACACCAGCTTAAGATAACTTTTCAGGGAGATGGTAATGTTCTAGAACTGAGCTAGATGCACAAAAATATCTGAATTATACATTAATAAATTTTCCAACATGTAAACTGAATTTAAAACTGTAAAATGGAATTGGAAATCACTGGACAAGACAGATCAGACTACTGATGTCAAAGGATAGGTTTATGTGCGCACACGTGCATACACAGAAAGAAAGAGGAAGACACAGACCAATTTAATGATCATGGTTTACAAAGATTCTTGGTATTACTGCTGTAACTTTTATATAAACATCAAATTACACTCAAAAATTTCCAACTATGAGGGGGGAAAAGTAGAAAGTCAAGAATATATTCTTGACTTGACTTTCTCGTTCCAACAATGTCCAATGATGACCACACACAGCTTGACAGTTATTAGAAAACGGTAGGTAGTTTCAATAAAATCAGTTGAAGAATAAAATTTGGCTGTAAAACCAACATAAAAGGCTCTAAAATTTTATTTCTATTGACGTAAATAGAAATTTAGCTGTAAATCCTGTAAAAGCACATTCACATTCGTAACAAATGAAAAAACACAGGATTTGCCATTTCAAATAGAGGGTAACTTTCAGAGGGGCTGAGTTATTAAGCGAACGTTTTGCTTTTGATATCAAGCATATTTATTTAGACATAGAATTTGAGGTCTGTTACTGAACAACACTACTGGACTGAGTTTCATTAATCATAGTGATCACAGTCCATTGCTACACTTAGTTTTCAAAAGTCCTTTTTATATATGGTTAATCTAGAGTATAAATAAGGGCGTATTAATTAAGCTACAACTCTTGTAGGCAGATAACATGTATATAAACAGCCAAATAAGTACCATTTTTTTAAATCAAAGACAAATGGCACGGAGGGACAAAAATAATCCTTAAACAATTTTAGCTTGCAGATTAAAAATATCTTCCAGGAGCTAAAGGCACAATGTTTATTCATTTCTAACTGAATAACCAATCAGAGAGTCATCCTGTATATTAAACATAATAACTGACCCACATTTCTCAAACAAGCTGTTTTTAATCCTGATAGTTCTTTATTTATCGCCATTTGCTTTGGGTTGCTAATTTGCAATAGATGTCATAATAGAATAACAAAAATTAGATAAATGTGACAAAGAATGACCAAGTATTTCACACCCTTGATACAAAGTCAAGAAGGAGGAAAAAGCATTGCACAAGGAGACTACTGCGGTCCTACTTATAAAACCAGCTACACATCCATATCAAGACAGTTTATCATCTCACTTCCAATTTCTTCCCCTCAAGAACAATTTGAATTTCTTTGGCATCCAAAGTCTCATAAGTCAGTAAAGCTTCTGCAAGATTCTTATGTTCTTTAGCATGAGTCTTTAAGATATGTTTTGCTCGTTCATATGAGTCCTAAAATAGAAAAGCAGATACATAAGAACAAAATGTATTTGGAGAGAAAGAAAAGCTACAGTCAATGGGAAAAGCAATAAAACATTAGATATCATTAAAAAACACCCTGTGAAATCTGTTAATTATAGTAAAGATAAAAGCATTTAAATGCTGGGCTACAAAGAGAACTCATCCTTTGAGATGTCCTATTTTTAACATTAAAAACTATCACATTTGAAAAACAATAATTAAGGATCCCTTACACCAAAAAGGTACAAAATACTTGTCTACTATTTAACTTAAGATCTACAATCACATAATTATCTTTATTTAATACAAGGCCAATGTAAATGATCATGGTTTACAAAGATGCTTGGTATTACTGCTGTACTCCTTTAACAGCTTGATATTTCACCAGTTGACTTACCTTTCTATTCTTTACTTACTAACACATTCATCTACTAATTTCTGACAACTGTAATATAGTATTATTACAAACAACTCTCATTTTCTACATTTGATCTTTTTTTTTAGTTAAAAAAGTCAACTGCCTGGTGAGCTCTGGTGGCCTAGTGGCAAGAAGCTGCAACTACAGTCTCAGAGGTGCGTGGTTCAAATCCACCAGATGCTCTGCTGGAGAAGGAGGAACAATCTCCTCCTGTACAGTCCGATCTGATTTGACGGTACACACAAAAAATAATGAAATAAAATAAATTAAAAAAAAAAAGTCAACTGCCTTACAAAGCTAAGTTTATGAATGAATCTATGAATTTATGAGTAATGACATGATTAAGACTTCATTCTTAAAAAGGTTTCAACCTTGAAACATGTTTGTCTCTGCCATTATTTGAAAATGTAACAGGATTTTTTACCTTTATATAACTGAGAGGAAAATTTAACAAATTTATCAACACAAAAACATATGTCAAACAAACAATTCAATCATTAAAAATAATGATTAGAAATTCTGGACAAGGTAGCTCTGGTGGCCTAGTGGCAAGAAGCTGCACTGCAATCCCAGAGGTGCAAGGTTTGAATCCATCAGATGCTCTGCTGGAGAAGGAGAGACAATTTTCTCCTGTACCAGTCAGATCCGATTTGATGGTACATGAACAAAAAAAACAGTAACATTTTAAAAAAAAGTATAAAATAAATAAAAGAAATTCTGGACAGTTTTGCATACTAAGTTATGCAATAAAAAATTTAAATAGTTCATAAAGTATTAGTATTAAAACTAAAGTTTAAGGTAAAATTAGCAATTTTAAAACCTTTTTACTCTCCAAGAATGAAACATTTTCATTAACACAACTTCGTTGATAGAAACATTTTCATTAACACAACTTCGTTGATAGACTATATAAAATTTTTATACTTTTGCATTTTTATACATTTGAACCTAAGATGATGATGTTGATGTTAAGTGCCATCAAGTCGAGTATGACTCATAGTGACCCGTGAGCAACAGATCTGAACCCTGTCCTATCTGAGCCATCCTTACCATCGCTAACACATTTGAGCCCACTGCCTCACAAACTGAGGATCTTCCTCTCCTATCCTGGCTCTTCACCTTCCCTAGCACGATGTCCCTTGCCAAGGAATAACCTCTCTACCAACATGTCCAAAGTATGTCAGATGAGTTTCACCATCCTTGCCTCCAAAGAGCACTCTGGTTGCACTTTCTCCAACACTTATCTATTTGTTCTTTTAGCCACCTATGGGATATTCGGCACTCTTCTCCAACATCATAACTCAAAAACATCAATTCTTCTCCTGTTATCCTTATTGTCTGGTTCTCAGACGCATAACAGGTGACTGGAAAGACTGTGGCCTGAATCAAGTGCACTTAAGTCTTTAAAATTACTTCACTGCTCATTAGGGCTTTGGAAATGTCCGAGAGGAGACTTTCTCAATGCTATGCATCTCCTGATTGCTAGTACCAATAGTGCTGACTATGAAACCAAGCAAGATGAAAATGCTGACAACTTAAAATTTTTCTACACCTATCTTGATGTTATCTGCTGACCCAGTGGTGAGAATTTTTGTTTTCTTGATTTTGAGATAGAATCCATATTGAAAGCTACAGTCCTTGATACACTGCAGCAAGAGGTTCTCCCAGCTTTCAGCAAGCAAGGTTGCATAATATGCATAGTACAGATTGTTTATGAGTCTTCCTATAGACCTGATGTCACACTTTTCTTCATAAAGTCCAGCTTCTCCAAGTGTTTCCTCAGCATACAGATTGAATAAGTATGGAGAAAGAATAAAGCCTTGATTCACACCTTTCCTGAATTTAAACCATGTTCTCTTACTCTCTTCAGACAACAGCTTCTTGGTTTAAATACAGATTCCATAAAAGCATAATTAAATGTTCTGGAATTTTCATTCTTCTCAATGTTTACCATAATCTATTATAATCCACAAAGTCAAATGCAAAGGCATCGTACAGTAAATAAAACATAAATAGACATTATTCTTCTATCTCTGCTTCTAGACAAGATCCATCTGCCATCAGCAATGATATCCCTGGAGACATGGCTTCTTTTAAACTCAGCCAGAAGTTCTGGTAGTTCTCTATAAATGTACTATTCTAGCCATTTTTGAATGAACTTTAGAAATATTTTGCTTACATGTGGTATTAATGATATTTTTGATCATTTCTATTCTGCTAAATCATTTTTCTGGGAATGGGAACAAACATGGATCTATTCCATTCAGTTGGCTAAGTTGCTGTTTTCCACATTTTGTTATTTATTCTCCAACTCCACCTCTATGCACATTGCATTATAATACCTTGTTTGTCTTCTTGAGATGCCCTTTGAAATCTTCTGTTCATCTCTCTTCAATACCTCTTCCCTTTGTTTTAGTCTCAGTGCTCTTCGTGCAATTTTCAGTCTTTGTCTTTGTAACCACCTTTTGCTCTCTGTATGGATACCTTCAATCATCTCACACTTCACCTGGTCTGTGATCATTACTGTACAGTGTCTTGAACTTGTTCTTAGAGGTGATTTTTACATTCAAGTGTGATAGATTCAAGGTCATATTTTGGTTCTTGTTGATTTAATTTCCTTCAATTTAAATTTAAACTTCCACAGGAGTGATTGGTAGTCACAGACTGTACCTAGCCTGGTACTGCCGGCTAATACTGATCTTCCCCAATGATTGTTTTCACAGATGTAGTTAATCTGATTCCTGCAGTCCATTAGGTGAAGTCCATGTGAAGGGTTGCTGTCTCTGTTTCTTAAAAAAGGTATCTGCCATGAATAAATCACTGTACAAAATTCAACCATTTGATCAACAGTCTCATTTCTCTACCCAAGTCCATAATTTTCAACTACCAATCCTACTTTAAACCCAACTTTTAAATTCCAGTCAACTAATCATTATTAATGCATCTTGACTGCATGTTTGGTCAATTTCAGATTGCATGAGTCCTTAATTTCCTCATCTTTGGCTTTAGCTATTGGTCCGGACACCCGAATAGCAGTTATTAACAGGTCAAGTAAGACAAGTTAAGTGTGTATGTGGACAGTATCCTATCCCTTGGAGCACTGTATTTCAGGATAGATATAAAATAGATCTTTTTAACTATAAATGCAACACTATGTTTCCTCATTTCTTCATTCCCAGCATAGTGGATCATATGTTTGCCTGATACAAAGTGGCCAGTGCCAGTCCATCTCAGCTTGCTAATGCCTAGAATGTCAATCTTTCTATGTTCTATTTCATTTTGACAACTTCAAATGTTCCTACATTCATTTCTCATTCATTCCATGTTCCAATTAATGGATGTTTACAGCTATTTTTCTACATTTTAAAGTATCTTCTATTTAAGGGCTCTCTAACTGTAAGCTCTAGCACTGGGGGGTTTTCAAAGGCCAGTTATTTCAAAAGTGGATAACACACCCTGTGTTTTTCTTTCACTACCTCAATCCAATTATCTATTAGGACTTGATTACTCTACTAATCTATTAACTGATCTTAATGAAGCTATTCTTACATTATATTACTCTTACGTTACATTCTTAAATTAACATTAATCTATTTTAAACACTACAATCAAGGGGATCTTTGTTTTACTTACTTGGTAGTCTCAGTGCATATACACTGCTTGGCACAAAGCAAATATTTGTTGAATAAATAAATGACAAAATGGGAAAAGAAGAGACAGAGACTCAATAAGGAACATTCCCCAAACTATTATCTACTATGGCTTTGCAGCTCAAATAGATCTGAATTCGTTTAGGCAAAGAGATGAAAGTGTTCTTAGCCATAGTTAGCACAAACATACAGAACATGATCAGATGTTCCCTATCAAGTTGTTTAAATTATGTTTGAAAAGGTGTAGCTATTGTCTGTATCAAATAAAGCAGCACTTCTAATGAACAGAAAGAACCTTCATTTATTGTAATTTTATTTAAGCATATTCTAACTAAATGACTTTAAAAAGCATAAAACTGATTATCATTACCCTTAGAAGGATTCTTATTTCTTGTTCAATAGCAGATTGAGTTTCTGGACTCAGTTTCCCTGTATCATTATAAGTCATAACTCCAAGCTGAAAACAAAGAGAAGAAATTATTCAACAGAAAACTCTAAAAGTAAAAGACTATGTAAATTCCTATACATAAGGAAACAAGTATCATAGGGGCAAGGATAATATATAACATAAAAAAATGGCACAAGGGTAAAACATTTTTATCATTCTAGTATGAACAAGACAGAAAATGTAATGTCACTAAAAGTAAGGTTCTCAGTCAACTTCAAACTCATTGGCATCAAGTCGGAACAGACTCATGACTGACCCTTCAAGACAAGGGAAGAGATTGCCCATCTTTCTCCCAGAGCGGCCAGTGGATTTGAACCAACAGAGCAGTTAGCAGCACAACATCCTATGGACTATACAACCGGCATTCCCTGGATTCTCAGTAGCTTTAAAAGTTTTTTAAGAAACTTATCTGAGAAAGAGAAGCAACTGGAACATTATCACAGTACAAACATTTGATACATAAGGAAGACCCAAAATTAGCTATTACCTTTTCACTCATTCCAAATTTGGTAACCATCCGTTTTGCAATTTTAGTAGCATTATCAAAATCACTGGAAGCTCCTAAGAAAAAAGTATACATACACACTTATAAATCAATTTTTTAAAATATATTTAAGTCAGTAAACATAATTTCAACTAAAGCTACTTTTAACAGTCTACCTGTTGTGATGTGGTCGGTTCCAAATATAAGCTCCTCTGCCACTCTTCCTCCCATACTAACATCCATTTGTGCAAGTAGCTGGGCTCTTGTTTCATTCCATCTGTCATTTTCAGGCAAAAGGGACACCTGGGACATATAATCAAATAATCAACAGACAAAAATATTATCCATAGTTACTGATTTACCTCTAACTCCTGCAGTATTCAATATCATGATACTAAAACCCAAGATACTTCATAAAGATTGTCATCAAGCTACTAATGATAAAACAGCAATTTATTAATCAGTAATTTGCCAAATAAACTATGAATTTACCACATTTTTATTTTTCCAACATTTGTTCTTTTTAAAGTAGAGCAGAAAATAAAAACACATCATATTTACATGTCCTAATGTTGGCCCTCGTGGCATGATTGTAGCTTTGTTGATTGGCATTGCATCTTTAGTGTAATAAGCAATAATTGCATGGCCAGATTCATGATATGCCGTGATGGTTTTGTTTTTGTTATCAATTTCTACACTTCTACGTTCAGGGCCTAAAGGCAAAAATTTAAGTAAATAATCCATTAGAAAGGACTTCAATAAATATGAACTTTAATCTTAATAAATATCCTTACCACAATAATAAGTTCTTTAAAAGCTTACTTTACAATACATGCAAACCCAAAAATAATTTTTGTTGATGGAAAACCGAAATTGTCAAAAACTGTCATCTTAATGCTTTTATCAAAGGGGAAAGCGTAATTCTAACTCTAACAAATACAATTTCAATTTAGCCTTAATATTGCAATTTACCTGCTTTTATGTCAATACAAAATTAAAACTGGGAAATGAAATTTATTATCCTCTTACTAGCAGCATAAGACAAGTGGAAATGCACACATCTATCCACGACCACTGTAAATCACATCAGTTATTGAAGTATTTACTCTGTAAGAGGATTAGTGGTTTCTATATCTTCAAGTATAAATGTTCCAACATTTTAAATTTCTCCCTCTCTTTATGAGTTCAGCAAAAAGCTGACAAGATGGGCATTGTGAATAAAATGTTAATGTCTTGCCTTCCAAAATGGAAATTTGTTAGAGCATTCATTACAACCCTTCAATGAAATTTTAGATTTAGATTATATGAAACAAAGTCATAGGTTCTAGTTTTCTGACTTTCATATTTGCAAAAATAAGTAATTCATTCTTTATCATACTACAAAGAAGATAGACAAAAAAAGGGAAAAACAAACAAACAAAACACCTACCCATTAAAATCTTATCCTTGGAAAATTCTAGTTCCTTCATTGTCACCATTTCCTTCCCATCAACAGCTGCTTTTAATGCAGCCTGATTTACAAGATTCTCCAATTCTGCCCCAGAAAAGCCAACAGTACCCCGAGCTATAATTTCTGGATCAACAGCTATGAGAGCGGGGGAAAAAAGACCATTGTCTAAAACAATATAAAAGTAGTAATATTTTGCACAATAAAGACAGTACAAACAATTGATTCTGAAGAAAGCTAATGAAAAATGTATTAGTAAAGACCTTATATTCCCAAATGAAGAAAACCATTATTCTGACCTATAAGTTATTTATTCTAGTATTAGCTCTCCAAATAACGGTAATTTATTAAAATCCTCAAGGGAAGGGAAAAGTAATAGCTTTGTAAAAAAACCAAAGAAATGGAGAACTAACCAAATATGAATTATAAACCTTTAAATATGGCCTGTGCTTAATTAGTCTAAGAACAAAGTAGGCAGCTATGGCAGTCCAGTGGGTAAGGAGTTGCAGCGCCAACCCAAAAGCAAATGGTTTATATGTACCAGATACTCTGAGGAAGAAAGGCAGGCAATCTACAGCCTCCAAAAAACTTGCTGGAGGTTCACCTATGAATCAGTTTCAACTCAAGAGCAATGAGAGTGAGTAAAGCAAAAACTGAAAAGTAAAATCATAAACAGTATCTGTGGGTATAAAAAGCTTTCCCTTAAGATTAAAATTACAGAAAATATACTCAGTCTTCTGAATTCCTGAAACTATCTTTGAAAATACTCTAGTTTTATTACTAACATAGGTCTATAATATTTACATATATTTTCTTTTTTTTATTATTATTATTTTTTTGTGTGTGTACCATCAAATCAGATCTGACTGGTATAGGAGGAGATTGCTCCTCCTTCTCCAGCAGAGCACCTGATGGATTCGAAGTGCATCCCTCTGGGATTGCAAGGCAGCTTCTTGCCTCTAGGCCACCAGAGCTCCCTTACATATATTTTCTTTTAGTTTGTTCTTTAGCTCTAAACTGGATATATCAAGAACTATTATTTGTGGTGAATTTCTATTATTTTATGTTTGTCTTCAAAACAATTTATACATATATATCTATATACTTATAATGAAATACATTATTAGTCAGAATAAATAAAACTTTCATTGGAATTAATGTTTAAAAACTTCTTATATACAAAATAATTAAGGAACAAACTTTTTTTAACTAAATCAACAACATATAAATAAATTAATATTTTAAAACATTCATCAAGTTATGACCAAAATCAGAGTGAATGGATAGTTTATAAAACAATGTTTACACTGTAAAATAAGAGTTGACTTACACTGATCGAATTTTATTTTATTTAGATACCATTTCAAAATTTCTGTTCGACCTCTGACATCTGGCCTTGGAACTGTCACTTGCATGTCAAAACGACCAGGACGTATTAAGGCACTAAACACAGAACACACATATACAGAAAAATACAAATTACTAAAGTGAGAATACATACTGAAGTTCAAGTTAAACAAGACCAATTCTAATAAAGCTGATAGCAACATAAGAGGTCACAGTTCCAGATGTCTGCAAAGGCTTGTATGTTACTTTGATATGAAACAGGTTATCGGCGGCTTTTCTAGAGTAAGGCAAATTAACAAAAAGGCCTATAGATCTGCTTATGATAGTAACCAATGAAAATTTAAGAGATCACAGTGATCTAGTTCTGCTGTGTACAGAATCATCATAAATCAAGAACTGACTCAATAGCAGTTAACAGATCAGAAGAAGTTCTGAACAGAAATATTCAAAGACTTTCTTTGAAAATATGGCTCACAATAACCTGGATATAAAACAGTAATTCATATACATTCATGTTTGCACCTATGTAATGTATTCCAAAACAGAAATATGCAAGGAAGTTCTGCAAGGCACAAACAAGTGAATAGGCTTCTATCATGAGAGTTACAAAAAGCCTTGGTGATGTAGTGGTTAAAGCATTAAGTTGTTAATTAAAAGGGCAGTAGTCTGAACCTGTCCTACAGGCTGCTGTCCTTTGGAATAGACTAAAGGGCAAATTGTTTGTTTTTAAATGAGTGTTACATGCCCTTCTCAACTGCAAGGTATAGAATATTAGATTCTTGGACAAAGATATTAACTAGACAAATAAAAATACGAAAAATTATTCTACAATTTAAAAAACAGAACTTTAATGTTAATTATAGTATTAAAGTAAAATTTCAAAATGCTGTCTACCAAAACAAAAATTTTAAATGTTAAGACTCTCACAAATTTTACTGATATGATTTAATGTATCATAGATTGACCTAAAATATGTAACTCAGAGGCTTTCAACACAGTGTGCTCAGTATTGTGCAAACAACAACACAATTTTAGAATATAGCCATGAGGCCAAAAAAATTGACTAGTAGTCATTTTCCATCCTACCTAGCCTCTGGCAATCACTAATGTAATATATATTTGCATATTCTAGATATTTCATAAAAATGGAATCCATAATATATGATCTTCTGTGACTAGCTCCTAGCTCTTTCTTAACAAATGCTGTATTTTAAAAATCATCCATACTTTTAACATACAGTAACAAGTTTTTTGAATACTTACTTATCTAATGCCTCTGGAAAGTTTGTAGCTCCTATGATGATAACACCTTCATTGGGTTTGAATCTATTTTAAAAAAAGTGCCCATTTTTCAATCATTAATTAAAAACACAGAACACATATAGCAACACTCTATATAAAAATGTTTATTAATAGTCTTCAGAACCATCGAGAAATGAATTGTGTTTTGTTTTTAAGTAAAAAATATCTCTATTTTTTAAAAAGAAATAAATGCTAGGCAAATCCAATTTAATGCAAATGCTAATGAGATCAGGTTGTTCCTTGGAGGAAAGGATTCTGAAGCTTCATCTGACATACTTTGGACATGTTGCAAAGAGAGATCAGTCCTGAGAGAGGGACGTCATGCTTGGGAGGGTGGAGGGACAGCGCGAAAAGGAAGACCCTCAATGAGATGGATTGATTCAGTGACTAGAGTAATGGGGGTAGGTGTGTCGGAGACAGTAAGATTGGCACAGGATAGTACAGTTTAGGGCTGTTGCACACAGGGTCGCTATGAGTCACAGGTGACTCGACGGCACATAACAGCAATAATGATGTTAATTTACCAAATATGAGATTTCAAAATCTTTTTTCTACTTTAGAAGAGCTGATAAAAAACTTGGGCAAGGGGAGCTCTGGTAGCCTAGTGGCAAGGAGCTGCAACTACAATCCCAGAGGGGCACGGTTCGAATCCACCAGATGCTCTGCCGGGGAAGGAGGGACAATCTCCTCCTGTACCAGTCAGATCTGATTTGACGGTACATGCACACAAAAATTTAAAAAAAAAAAAAAAAACAATAACAACAAAACTTGGGCATAAATAAATATAAAATGCACCCGACTTTTGGAAAATGATTGTAATGCCTACCAAATAAAAAAGTTTTTTATCCTCGACTTAATTTTGTTCTAGAACGGCTAACATGACTTATGATAGACTAGTATAGTTATGAAGGGAGGCAGGATAGGAAATGAATGGGTAGATAATGAATATTTTTTCCCCATTGTTATATTTTCTTTATTAATTGTCCAACTTTCACATGCAGATAATGAATATTTTAGTGCAATTAAAGACGGGTCTGACAATATAAAGGGAATGGTCAGACACTGGCATTGTGTATACTGCAATTAACAACATGGAAATGGATATAAAAAAATGGAAAAGAAGAAAAAAAAGAAATGGATATGGAAGACTCATTAGCTGGGGAGAAAAGCTAAGGAAAGGTTTACACACAGAAGTAATCATAGGAGATTTACAGAGATGGGAAAGTAGATGAAAGATGGGAAATGGATGGAAAGGGAGAAGGGAAAAGCAAAGCACTGTGAAATTTTGGTGCGATATGGCAATAAATGCCATAGATCAACTGCTAATGATGTAAAAAAACAAAATGTAAATGATTATTCAAATCAATCTCACTACTTTCTTATTTTAAAAAGTAATACAAATATTAAATCCATTACAGTAATCAGAAACTGTACAGGAACCACTGTACTCTCCAGTTACTTCTTCAAATAAGTTACTGACTACTGTCATTTTGAGTCATGGCTTTATGGTGATTGGTATAATATAATAAATAAGAGGTGTTATGAATTAAATTGTATCCCTCCAAAACAAGTCCTAAAGATTCTAATCCCTATGCCCATAGTTTTAATACCTAATACAGTTGAAAAGTGGCTGTCTTAGATAACAAGCAATGGATGATAGTACATGGGACTATTCTTAATCCTGAATAAAAATTTTTCCTTTTTCAGTCAATGTCTTTTGACATACAAAAGAGAGTAAATAAGACAGTAAAGCAGCGATAAGACAACTGATACCAAGTCAAATAAAAACTGCCTAAGAGAAGCAGCTCAGAAAAGACAAGAAAATTTCCTGAAGGCAACCAACAAAGGAACATAGTTCAAATTAATCAGCTGTTCCATGGGAGAAAGATGGGCAATCACCTCCTGTGTGCTTTACTGCCTCTGAAAACCTGCAGGCGGGTCACAGTACATAACAATAGCCTCCTCAACTTTGACAATGGAAATTCTGTTTGTTAAAGGCATCTACCTGTGGTATTTCTATTATAGCAACACTAGGGAACTAAAAGATAAATGACACAAATTAAGCAAGTACATCAAATATTAAAATAGTCATAGACATAATGAATATTTAAAGAAAAGCTTGATTCTTTTACCTACATAATATTTTTAAAAACCTAGAATATTATCTGAGTTATGGTAACAGTATGCAGAAGATGACATAAATATATAGCAAATGCTGTAAGGTATTTGTTATTCATTTTAAACAGTTGCTAAAATAAGATAAATTCAAACTTAAAAAAATACAAGTCATCAAATTCTATAAAGTATGGTTGTTAAATTACCCATCCATTTCAGCAAGAAGTTGATTTATAGTCTGCCTTGAATACGGATGCATTGGAGATTCAATTCTCTTCCCACCAACAGAATCTAACTCATCAATAAATATTACACAAGGAGCATTTGCTTTTGCTTCTCCTAAGAAAACAAAATAATATTTATATAAGAAATAAATCAACACTTTTTAAATAAAAATGGAGGTATGTTATTTAGGAAGTGGATGCCACTCTTGCTTCCAAAACAAAAATGACAATCTAGTCAATTATCAAAAGCCAGTCCCACCCCGAAAAAAACACGTAAGAGAAAATAAAAAAGGGTACTTTTTTCCTGACAGCATACCAAAAAAGCTCAACAACCAAAATCTCAAAGAAAAATGATTATTAAATACAGTACTTTCCCCAAGCTCCACTGAGTATTCTAATGGAGATAATGGTATGGGTCTACATTAGCACACACACTAAACAAAGACCTCTCAATGGCTAGTTCGACCACTTAATAGTCCTAACTAATTAACTGAGAAAAGGTAAAACTATTTCCAAAAAAACTGAAAAAATATATAATTTTTCAAAAGTTTTATCACGTACTAAAAAGATTCCTGATGCGGCTGGCTCCCACACCCACAAACATCTCATCAAATTCTGATCCAGAAGCATAATAGAAGGGAACATCAGCTTCTCCAGCCACAGCCCGAGCAAGAAGTGTCTTTCCTGTTCCTGGTGGTCCAACTAAAAGAATACCTAAGTAAAAAGTAAGTAAGAAGACCGAATTTAAAAAGAAACCAACAAAACCCCTCATATCAACCAATAAAACAAGCAACTGTATAATTTACAGAATATTGGTGCATAAAGACTTATCAAGGATCATCATTAGAAAGAACAGAATACACTTATCTCTTCTAATGAGTCGTGTTGGAATCTTTTTAACAATTTTCTCATATCATTTACGTTATAGAAAGGCGTTGTTATAAGGTACAATCAAACTGACTCCAAATCATAGCAATCCTACGAACAACTGATTTAAACCTTACTTATCTTTCACCATCCTCACTCTCTCTGTCTTGCTCAAGCCCAATGAAATAATCACTGTGCCAACCACCTTGTTTAGGGGTCTTCTCCTCTTTCTCTGACGCTGTGTCTCTCCCAGGAGGATGTCTTATGTGAAGGACTGGCCCTTGCTGACAATATGCCCAAGTATGTGAGATCATCTTTGCCTGTAAGGAGCAGCCTGGTTGCAATTCTTCCAAGAAACCTGTCTGTTCTTCTGGCAGTCCATGGGATATTCAGTCCTCTTCTCCAACAGAATTCTAAGATATCAATTCTTTTTTTGTCATCTTTATTCACTGTCCAACTTCACAAGCACAGAATTAATTGGAAAGACTATAGCTTTGATCAGGTGTACTTTAAACAATGCTCCTTAGCCACACTGCAACATGTCTTTTGATTTCTTGACTGCAGCTACCAAGGGTGTTGATTGTGGATCCAAATAAAATTAAATCATTGACAACTGCAATCTTTTCTCCATGATGCAGGTTAAGAGATGAGGACTTTTGTTTTCTTGATGTTAAGATATAATCCATATTGAAGGATACAGTCTTTGATCTTTTGTAGCAAGTGTTTCAAGTCCTCTAATTTTTAGCAAGCAAGGTTGTGTCATCTGCATGATACAGGTTGTTTATGAATCGCCTCCATTCCTGATGCCACATTCTTCTCCATGCAGTAAAGCATCTCAAACAATCTGCACAACATCCAGACTGAATAGATATGGAGAAAGGATATAACCCTGATGCACACCTTTTTCCGATTTTAAACCTGCAGTGCTCCCTTATTCTGTTTGGACAACAAATTCTTAGCCTATATATATATAAATGTTTCACATGAGAATAATTAAACGTTCTGGAATTCCATTCTTCTAATGTTAGTCACAATTTGTCTAGATCCACATGATCAAATGCCTTTGCAGAGTCAATAAAACACAAGTAAATATCTTTCTGGTATTCTCTGCTATCAGCCAAGATCCGACTGACATCAGCATAAATGGGTTCACACTCCTTGTCAAATTTTTCTTTGGAAAGGAATATCAATCAATTTATAAGTAAACTATTAATGCAAAATTTTCATAAAACGAGACTGTAAAGACTAAAAAATCAAAATAAATGCACAAATCTAGGCTGGATCTTTTTCATAAAAAGCAGCTATTTTAAAAACCCTAGAGACATTAAGTAAACATCTGAAAACCACAATGGTAAATCATATCAAAGATTTTTCATTGCTGGGTAAAAGAATATTTATTTAGGACAGTGTCCTTACTCCTAGGAGATATATGCCTAAATATTTAGTTATAAATTGCATTCAGATGTGTGTCTGTCTCTCTCTCTCTCTCATACACACACCCCCCTCTCCTCACTAATTCAAATGGCACTCCATGTATGTCAGACCAGAAATTTGCCCCAAAGGTCTTTTAGTTAGTGTTATCTTAGAAGTAAATAGCCAGGTTTTTCTTCAGAAATATTCTGTAAGGAAGAGAATAATTCTTTTCTTTTACTGTTCTCGCTATATTTCATGCTGAGTCAGCAATGGTAGGCAAACAAATATTTGCAATCACTTCTGAACTCTTGTTTGAGGATGGCACAGGATAGGGCAGATCTGTTGTTCACAAGGTTGTACATGGTTAAGTGGTATGTAACAACATGGTGAATTCTTACAAGAAATATTTTAAAATGTAAATAGAAAATATAAATATAAAAACCAAAAATTATCCCCCTTTAATGAAAGCAATTATACTTTTAGAAATTCATTCATATGAAATAATTAAGGATCTTGGCAAAAATCTCAAGTTATGCTTATTTAGGTAAATTACAGTATAATCATAAATTGTAATGACACCATATAGTTGTTTAACAAGATGCTGGCAACTGTGAAGAAACCTCAAACCCAAATACATAAATACCACAGAAATCATAAGCCTGCATATCTTGAAATAGTGAAGATAATGAAAAAAACAACCAAAAGAATTAAGCTCAAAAATGGTTTCTGACTAAAGTATATATAACATTTTATACAAAAAGCATTTATAGCAATTTATTCTTATATAGTCTGGAAGTTTGAATCCACCAGGGGCTCTGCAGGATATTTACAGCCTTGGGAAATCCAATGGAGTTAGCTATGAGTTTGGTTCAACTAAATAGCCACAGGCTGGGTAATTCTAGAACTTTAATGAACTGTAAAAATATACAGTATGGTCAGAGTGAGTTACATATATAATAAATTTAAAATATTAGAAATAAACTTTAACCCATTAAATAGAAGTTAAAACAAAATATAATATTATTTTATAGACCAAATCATGGCAAAGGAAAGGGATCATACCTTTTGGGAGTTTACCTCCAAGCACTGTAAATTTTTGTGGATTTTTCAAGAATTCAACAACTTCTTGTAATTCTTGTTTGGCTTCTTCTACCTAAATGGATATAATTTACAAGATAATTTTAAAGAATAGATCAGATTTATCAAAGCTTAAGAAAATATAAATTCTGAATTAATAAAGTTTTAAAAATTATGTACATTAAAAACATACATACAAAAGGTACAATCTCAACAAAAAAAACCCCTCACATTTTGAATTGCTCCTGCTCACTATGTTGGATATGAGCAAAAAGCTCATAAAGCAAATTTCAAATCAAGTACTTTTCTGACCTGGCAAAACCCTCCAGGGTCGACTATAGTATGTGTACAAATTAAATATTCACAGTGAGTGACTTTATATCTATGCAATAACATTAATTATAAAGTGACTTTATCATAGCAGATTACTACTAGGTTATAAATTACTTAGTTCCCAATAAAGATTTAGGACAGTGTCTGAAAATAATTGATTCTGTGCTGAAAGTTTGTAAGCAGTTATAGACAAAAAGTTAAAAAAAAAAAAGTTAGGCAATAGAAAAAAATAATTTACTCCTTATCCTATAAAATTTAGCAGACTTGAAATTCTCAACAAAGGTAAAGCTAAAGCTGATCAACAAGGACAGCAAGGGAGCAATAGCACAGGTTTTAAAACTTTTATAGAAGATAAAGAAAGGTACCTGTCAAAAATTAAGTCATTTTCCTATTGTCACTAATAAATATACACACCTACGAAACCAGAAAGATAACAAAAATGAGCAAAAAGGCTCAGATCTCAAATAACAGCTGCTGCAAAAGGATAGTAAATGTCACACATGACTTGTTTCTAACAGACATCAGGCCAGTGCTCTAGAGCTCCATCACTCCCAAGAAGGAATGGAATAAACCTTGAAAAAAACTGTACCAAACAAAACCCCAGAAATGTATTCAGGGGTAAAATTTGCTGATTAAAATATGCTGGCTAGCAATTTAAACTTTAATATATTTGTTATTTTATGTCTTTAAATTATACTGGCAAAACAATACATCTGTTTTGTATATAACACTATCTAATTTAGTTCACATATTTGTAACCTCACATTAGACACAACTTTAATAAAATGACTCTGGGTGACAAAAATTCAAACTAGTTGAAGAGGAGCTTGCCAAAAAGTACATACACATTTCTGGGCCAACAGGCACTCTGAAAATATAAAATCCATGTACAAAGCCTTCCAGTAATATTTCTACTAAACAGCTTAACTCTTAAAAGAGTGAGTCTGGGTTTTAAAGTTATCCTGATTAAATAATTTAGAATTATTTAATATCATATAATACTGAAAAATTTTAAAGTATTTGAAAACAAAGTGCTATATCTGTAATATACCTATATATTCAAATATTCTAGGCAAGAATAAGATTCCTAAGGATGCCTCTCCATACTTGTTAAAATACATGTATCTATTAGGAGTTGTTACCAGCAAGATTTATACACAACTAAATGAGACACTATTCAACATCACATATGCTGCACTGGCCAGGAATGGAACCTGGTCTTCCACAAGGGAAATGAAAATTCCTACCACTGACCTACCAATGTCATATTAAGATACAGAACAGAGACAAAACTGCTCTGGTATATGCTGGTGAACTGGATTGGTTTGCTCTATAAAAAAATTCAGAATTTGGAGCAATTACAACATTGATTACTTTTTAATATGGAAAACCTCTAGCAGTCAGCCAACTGTACCTACCCTAATAAACCCACTGAAGCAGTAGTGGGCTACAACATGTTTAGGTATTTGGAACTTTCTGCCCCCACTGATCAAGCCTAGTTATTGATTATGCCACAGTGTTTTGGGAACAAGGGATTCATCCCTTAGTTAAAAGCCGAAAGAAGCACATTGAAGACTAAACATAATATGGAAGGAAGGAAGTCTCTTCACATTAAGCTAAATCTTTTTGGAGACCCTGTAAGGGCATAATAGAATTTATGCTATCAAATGTATTTGTACTTCTCTGGCTTCTCTTGCATATAACATATCTGAGACAGAATTCCTAATATGTCTCCTCACAATCTGCTCTAATCATAGCCTTTCTCATCTCAATAGATGGAAAGTTCATCTCTCAAATCATTCAATCTAAAAATCTTATGGCAATTAAGGATTTCATCCATTCTCTTAAACTCCACATCCTAATCCATCTGGAAATCTTATTTTTATACATATATATATTCAGAATCTAAGAATCGCACCAGTTTTATTATTCCATTGTCAGACTATACGAGTCCAAAATAGCTTGCTCATCAAAATCACAGTCAGTTAAGTGGTAAAGTTTAATTTGAAATTTGTCTGTCTGTTTGTCCATAAAGTTCATATTCTTGCCACTATATACAGTTGTTCCTTCACAAAAAACTAAGACATGTCATGATATAAAAACTGGCCTTCTATTCTAAGACTACTAAATTCAAGTTTTAACTATGTCAGAAAAACTTGTATCACCAAATGTTAACCTTATGCAAAACAAAACAGAATGTAAGAGAACTTTCAAACTTACTCCTTTAACGTGTTCAAAGGTGACATTTTTCATTTGGACAGGATCTACCGCAGAGTCAAGCCCTGTTGTTGTCCGGAAGCGGACTAAGGGAAATAAAAGGTTGTATTTGACAGATTCAGAAAATGAGATTTACACTTAATAGGTGCAAGAAAGCAAAGTCAAGACAAATTATGTGAGCAACCTCAGACAACAAAAATTACACAAAAAAAATGAAGTCATGGGAACACTGGTGGTCTAGTGGTAAGAGCTTTCACTGTAATCCCAAAGGCACAAAGTTCAAATATCCCAGCTGCCCCATGGGAGAAATATGGGTAATCTCCTCCTGTGTCATTAACTGCTTCTGGAAACCCGCCAGAGGGTTAGCTCTACAAGTCAGTTCCGACTCAACGGTACACAACACATCATTTTCAAGGGCCAGCCAACTCACATTAAAACAGTATCTTTGTCGGTACAAATTCACCTGATGCTTTGCTGGAGGAGCGGCAATCTCCTCCTGTACCAATCAGATTCGATTTGATGGTGTACACACACACACACATGAAAACAAAAACAAAAAACAATACTTTCATACTTTCCTGCGTCAAGGCTGATTAGACAGTGTTTTTATTAACTACATTAATCAATGAGGTTTATGTTATGGGTGGCTCTGGTAGCTCAGTAGTAAGGAGTTGCACTGCCAACCCAAAGACAAACCCACCAGCAGCTATGAAGGAGAAAGATGGGAGATTTACTGCCTCTGAAAACCCACCAAAGGCTCAGCTATGAGTTGGTTCTGCCTCAATGTTACATAACAATAACTAATGTTATAAAATTGTAATTATAATGTGTGTGGTTGGTTGGTGTTTTGTTTTTTAAAAAAGGTTAATTCCAGCGTTGGGGCTTTAGGAAAATCTAGGGCTACATGCAAGTTCTAGGATGAATTCTTGATCTAGGCCGATCAATGCTCTTCTTGCTTGACCATCTCTGACACATCAGACCACCCCACTGTTAGTCATTGTGTCAATCCATCACAATGAGGGTTTTCCTCTCTTTAGCTTACCCTATACCTTTCCATTCCTGATGTCCTTCTTCAAGGACTGGACCCCTCCTTACAATCAGTTCAAAGTATGTGAGCAAGGAATTTTACCGTCCTTCCCTCCAAGGAGCATCATAGTCTTCACCTTCTCTAGGACAGTCTTATTAGACCTATGAATTCTCTTAGGAGATCACCTAATACCAAAAGTGAGCTATAATATGGATTACTCTAACATAATCTTCAGACTATCAACAAAATAATAAATTATGGGTTTTTTTATATCCAAAAAAAAAAAAATCATTACAATTTTGTACTTTTCTTTTCATAGCAAATAATCAACATTTTTAGTGTCCAAAATTAACCTTCCTTGGAGTCCATCAAATAATGTCAATATAACAAGTTCTCAAACGTTGTTAATGATATAAATCATAACAGACTGAATCTTTCCTGCTTTATTACAAAAACAGTCTTGAAGTAACCCACACCGAAAAATTCTGACTGCGAAATAAAAGGGATACTCATATAATTGCTTTTTTTCCCCTTCAAATTCCTAAGTAAAAAAAGAAAATCACAAATGGGAAACAAGTATTAAAAAAATTAAAACTCAAACACATAAGCAGCCTTACCAGATAGAAATGGATTTTTTAAGAGTCCATAAATACCAAGCAGCAGCAGAACAAGGAGAAACAGCCGAGTTCGTCTTAGAGAATCTGGAGAAAGAAGGGTTTTACATCAAAGAAATAATGACTCAAAGAAATCCAAGTAGTAGGTTGCTACTGATAATCATACTTCATTAATAATGTAACTTTGATTTTCTTCTTCATAATGGCTATGAGTTATTTTCAGTATCGTGTTATCAAAAAGTTCACAAGCTTCTAAAATTAGAAGCACATTCCTATGTCTGTTCCTGATTTTTCTCTCAAGAAAGTGAATGTGCTGGTAGACATTTTCACTTCTCTCCACAGCTAAAGGTGGAGCAAACACAGTGGAGTACAATCAAAGCAAAGATGGACTATTAGGAAGTTACTTATAATCACTTAACTGTGGAAACAACTTGATTTTAGATCTTCTAAAAGACAACCATTAAAACTCACTGAAATGGAGTGAATTCTGACTCTTAATGATGCTATAAGACACAGCAAATGAACCTACCATTGGTCTTTTGTGTGAGTGCTTGAGCTTTCAGAAAACCCTCTGCAAAACCAGTCTTAAATGCATCTTGATGAGCTTCAGGTATGTTTTTGGTTTTCATGAGTTTGTCCAAACTTTCAATATCAGATCCTCTGTCTCTCAAAAGAAACCCCTAAATGCAAAAACAATGTGTTAGTATTCATAGGCTACATGGATAACAACACTCTCCAGGAAAACTGGTACCACTTCTTTTATTTCTTTATTTATTTTGGGGTACCACTTCTTAAATCACTGGAATTCTAGACTCTAGGGTTTGTTTTTAACATTTTAATACATTTCTGAGTAAACTAACTGGTTTTCTATTACACACATTTTGTTTTATAAAATTACAACATCCATGATGTAACCACACTCCACCCATTTTTTTCTTTATAATGCTCATTTCCATTAATCCTGTATCCTACCTGTTCCTGCCTTCAGGACTTTGAGCAAATACCTTTTTGTCCTGATATATTGGTTATTCTAAGGCTAGAGTCTTTGCACTTTTATTGTCAGTAGAGAAAAAAAAACAGATTGAATGAACAATATTGAATCAATGGCTAATAACTAATACAACCTGTTTTTACATCAATTAATTTATATAAAGAGATACCACTCTGCAAGAACACTATATAGAAACCGTAAAAGGATACCTGTTGACTTGAGATTTTAAAGGTATAAGGCTCACATTCTTTATCTCTGCTAAAAAAAAATACTTGATCAATTAATTAAATAGCTGCTAAGGGTCTTTTGTATGTTCAACCCTGTTTAAGCTCATAAAAAAAGATATAAAGATCAATAGGCACTAATCCGAAAGGTTTCTTTCAGCTAGCAAGAAATAAGAAGTTTAAAAAGCTCAGCGAACACCATATAGATTCGACCCCAAAAGAAAAACATCAAGGCATATCATAGTTAAATTTGCCAGAACTAAGGATAAGGAGAGAATCCT